GGTGGAGAGATGGTAGCAGCAGATGCTGGGTCTGAGCAAGAATAAGGTGCACGATAGTTGAGCATTATGATGATGATTGTTTGTTTTAATATACTTTATTATTATATTTTAGAAACTTTTTTCTTTTTCTTTTTTGGATTTTGAATTATTAGTTTCTTTTATTGGATTGGATTTATTAAGAGCCTAGTTGTCACAGGGGGTGCCTATTGAAAGTAATAATATATTTAAAGGCTGTGGTGGTGACGAAATGAGAAAGAGAGAGAGAGAGAGTAGTAGAGGCGATATTTTACAGAACAGACATGATTAGATATTATAAGATTTATGGATTGGATTAAGTGGATTTGATTGGATTTGGATTTGGATTTGGATTTGGATTTGATTTTATGGGGGGGGATTTAGTTGAGTTGAGTTTAGTTTAGTTGAGTTGAGTTTTTTTTTTTTTTAATAGAGAGAGTTGAGTAGGTGGGGTTGGGAAGGGTTTTTATATATAAAAGAAAGAAAGAAAGAAAAAAAAAAAAAAAAAAAAAAAAAAAATCTCTCCTTTTTTTTTTAAAATAAAAAATTTTTTTTTTTTTATAAGGAGAAAATCAAAAGGTTTTTATACTCTGGCAAAAGTTTGGAAATTTTTTTAATTTTTATTTTATTTAATTTTTTTTTTTGTTACACACATAGACACATAACTGTCTCAACATTTATATTTGACTTGAATTTACTTAAAAGCAACAACAACAACAACAACAACGACAAGTAAATAAATAAATTACAATAATAATAATAATAAAAAGAGATTTTAGTATTTCTCAAAGTTTAGATTGAATGGCAAAAAAAAAAAAAAATAAAAATATAATTAATAATATAAAGAATAATAACAAATTTATTATTGAATGGCAAAAAAAAGATTAAAAAAAAAAATCTTTATGTCTTTCTGTAATTCTGTATTTCTTTCTATATTATTATTATTATTATTATTATTATTATGACAAGAAGCAATTAAAAAAAATTTTTTTCTTATTCATATTCATATTCTCTATATATATTTTTTTACTAATATTAATACTAAACAAAAATAAAAAAATAAAATAAAAAAAACCGTAGACGGAAAGCCGATGCTGGGCCTATCAACGGCCATCCAAACCAGTGCAGTAGCAGCATCAGCATCAGCATCATCAGCAGTAATAGTAACATTTACAGTAATATAATATTAATATAGTTTAGTTTAGTATATAGTAGTAGTAATAACAGCAATTACAATATATATAAATATATTAAAAAATGTAATTACTTTATTATTATTATTATTATTATTATTATTATTATTATTATTATTATTATTATTATTATTATTATTAAAAAAAAACACCCAACACCACGGCATTCCCGTTAAAGATTACACCGCAAGACAGAATGCCGTTCTTTTGATGATAATGATCATCAAATCATGATTTGAAAAGGGGTGTGTGTGTAAAAAAAATAAATAAATGAATGAATGAATTAATTGCCATGTGTTTTTTTTTTTCTTTTTTTCTTTCTTTCTTTAACTGATCAGTTAGAGTACGCATAGAAAACAAGCATTAAATAAATATATAAAAAAAAAAAAAAAAAAAAAAAAAAAGCGCGCTTAACTGGTTTTTTTTTTTTTTATTTTTATTTTTATTTTTTTTTTTTCTTGCGTTTTTTTATTTTATTTTTTTTTTATTCAAAATAACTGCCGGCATTTTGGCTCAATTATTTTATTTTATTTTATTTTATTTTATTTTATTTTATTTTATTTTATTTTCTATTTTATTTTATTTTATTTTATTTTATTTTCTATTTTATTTTATTTATTTTTCTATTTTTTTCTTTGTGGAATTTCTTACCACCTCATATTTTCATCATTAGCTCAAATTAATATGGCAAAGTATAATAACTTTCTACAATATAAACACTCACGAGTTTATTAATATTATTACAAATAAAAATGGTGTAACAAAATAAATAAATAAATAAATAAATAAATAACGGATCAACCGGCCAGAGAATTTCTCTGACCGCGGGGTTTTCATAATTGTAATGTCACACAATAATAAATGAATTATATAATATTTATATATATATATTTATCTATAACATTATGATGTCATATAAATATATATAAAAATAAAATAAACCCTAAACAAATTTAATCTAAATTTATATGTAACTAAACATATAAACGTTGTTGTAATTACACACATAACGGTATTACAATTACCGTTACTATTAAACTTAACTAAGTAGTTACAATAGTTAGTTACAATTTTATTTTTTTATTTTTTAATTAACTATATATATATATCTGTTATTGTGGTTGGTAGTTAAAGAAGAGTCAATAGTATTATTTTGATTCTTGGATATTGTTTTTTTTATGAATCTTAAGCAACATAAGAATCACAATCCAATCCATCAACATGAAAATTAACAACCTCATCTGGGAAATATATTAGGTAACTTGAAATTTTTTTATAGTATCAAGATCTTTCAAGTCATCAGTTAAAAGCTAAATTCCATTCTTTTTTGGGCAGGTTTTGTTCCTCTAGGGGAAAAAAAAAAAAAAAAAAAAAAAAAAAAAAAAAAAAAGGGACATTTTGTCTTTTAAAATATCATTGAATTTCTTCTTCACTAGTTTGTCCGTTAGATTGTAAATCATAAGAAGAAAAAAAAAAAATTGTATAAATTAGATTTAATAATTTCATGCTGTTCACACAAATTCTGGATGGGAATCCAGATTAAAGGAAAATTTAAACTTTTGAGGTGAAAAAAAAAAAAAAAAATGTTTTGAGGGACAGCATCAGATATGATGCACTTCTTGATAACTCAAGACTTTGTTTGAAAGTTTACCAACCCATCTATTTGTTGAAGATTTCTATTTAGACTACCAAAGAACACAGTACTTGGTGTTGTTGTACTTATTAAAGTAAAGAGATCTTTAACCCACATAAGGAAGATGTAAGTACAGCATTGAAGTTGTTCCAACAAATCTTGTTTCAATCGGATAAAATTCCCATGTGAATGACTACCATCATGTAGATATGTTTTTTTTTTTTGTTTTTTTTCAGTCAAAAGTTTAACTTTTGACCAAAGGGTATTATTTGTATAGAAAGTCAAATGTAGTTTGTAATCAAGGGATAGTATGATAATACCAAATCAAGTTTCAAAAGTCAAGACTAATAAGGGAGGTATACCTGTGAGTATATTGAAAAAAAAAATATTAATATAAATGCAAGCAAGCAACTACTTTATGGTATTAAATGAAGTTTTTGAGAGTATATATATATATATAGAGAGAATATTATTGTTTCAAAAAAAAATATTTTTCTAAATAATTTAGAAAGAAAGAAAGAAAGAAAGAAAGAAAAAAAAATATTGTAAGATAGATTATCTCTAAGAGATAATCTTAATTATAATAATAATTCTGTGGCACAAGCTATATTATTTATATATATAATAAATGTAACAGAACTTGTTGTAATTGTAATTATATCACTACCCCAGAAAAAAAAAAAAATACAAATTAAACATATTAAACAAATTAAACAAATTAAACAATCATCACCACTTATTAATTCCTTTTTTTTTTTTTTTTTTTTCTCTAAACCTTAAAAACTTCTTCTTCTTCTTTTTCATCTTCCCATAAATCAATACCCAATGCTTTGACTACTCTCAACTCTTCTCCCATTACCCAAACTCATAGCTGCAGCTTTGGTCAATAACTCTAGTTCCAACCGTTTCAGTTCTTGCTCCTGTGCTGCAATCTCTGCCCGTCGTGCTGCCACATCTCTTGCAAGCTTGCTTTCCGTATCCTTGAGTCGTTGCTCACTCGCCCAGATTTGTTGCTCTCGTGCAAGCAATGCTCCAGTTGAAGATGATGATATCGCATTCCCAGTAGACGATGACAATACTGTTGATGGCGTACCTGATGCATTCATATGAGTAACCATTGATGATGATGAAGATGCTTCTTCTCCACTCACAACAGATTCTGCTTCTTCTGAAACTTCTTCTGCTAACTCCTGTGATAACTTGTGTGTCCGGTAGTTTTCGTACAATACATACTCGGTTGTGTCACGTAGATCACTCACATGTGTCTGTGTCAAGATCTTTCGTAACATACTAATATCACTTACCCGTGGATCTTCAACATCTATAGCTCCCCAGGCGTATCGCCGTGTTAGCAGGCCTTGATGTTCGTCAATGTCCGATGCACCAACTACCGCAAATGGCACCATTCCCTTGGCTTGTTTTGAGATTTTCACAAACTCATCATCATCTTCACCTTCTTCTTCATCATCATCATCATCATTTCCATCTTCTTCATTCTCATCTTCTTCGATATCATCATGCAACTTATCTTCCACATAAAGATCATCATAAACTCCCATCCGACTATTCCTTCGCCGACTTTCTCTATTTCTATCCGCTTGAGACTTTTTTCCATTCCTTCTTTTCTCCCCACCAGTAGCTACAGCTGTCGTTGCTGCTGCTGCTGCTGCTGATATAGCTGTCGTCACTGCCTTTCCATATTGGAACCCATCCCCCCCTGGGAACCCATACACTGGGATTTGAAGTCGCCGAATGTCTTCCATCACCAATTGCTTGTTGAGTTGTAATTCTCCCGTAGTCAACCCATCTGCTTTGGACAACACTGGGATTACATTGGCCTTTGGTGCTAGACGTTGTAGAAACTCAATGTCTGGTTCCCGTAGACCATGTCCTGTGGGCTGGACAAAATACAAAATCGCGTGTACTCTTGTATCAGTAAACCGAGGGTTACGTTTAATTCGAGACTCTTCTGCTAGTACTGCATCGAACTGTTTTTCCACATAATGAACAATCTCGTCAAACCTAAAAAAAAAAAAAATAAACAAAGTTAGTTAATACCATACCAAATACCCCCCTTTTTTTCTTTTCACTTTATTTATTTATTTTTTTTTTTGGTTAATATAAACTCACACTGGCCCACTGTCTAGATTCTGACCGAATCCTACAGGATCAATTAAATTGAGTGTCAGAACTCCTTCACCTTGATCTGGGATTTCAACTGTCATTGAGTCAAGCCGCAGACCTGCATCAAGGTGTGCAGATTCTGAGTGAGATGGGATGTTATTGAGTAAGTCAAGTGGTGCAATGACGTTTGTACGGCATAAGGTATTGATGAAGGATGATTTGCCTGAACCTGATTCACCACAGAGCATAAGAGTAAGTCTCTGGCCTCGTTTTTGAGACCGTTTGTGGCGTAGCTAAAAGAAGAAAGATTGTATGCGCGTTAGACTTGATGTATATTATTGAGATTGAGATTGAGGTTGAGAGAGACTTACCAAAGCTGGTGAAAGAACCATATTGAAGGAAGAGGAGGTTTTTTTTTTTTTTTTTTTTTTTGTAGAAATCTGGCTAGTTTATTATTATGATAATGAATGAATAGCTAGTTATTTGGGTTATTATGCTTTTATTATTATAATAATAATAATAATAATAATAATAATAATAATAATAATAATAATAATAATAATAATAATAACAATCTGCACAATGACGTGTGTAAGAAGCCCTGACTTGTAGGATATTTGTTGTTGTCTAATGCAGGACTTTCTTTGTCTTTTTGTATTTTTGTATTTTAAGATTAAATATGAAATTTATAAGAAAGTGTTGATTTTATTTTTTTGAATGTTTAATGTTGAATGTTGAAAAGAAGACTTTGAAAAAAAAAAAAAATAAAATAAAATACAAAGAACAGATCTTTCCTTTTTTCTATTTTATTTATTTTTTTATTTATTTATTTATTTATTTAATAATAATAATAATTTTTATTTTTATTTTATCTTTTTATAAATATTATCTCCCATCCCCGTATATATAAATTATATATACTTTTTAATCCCTTTCTATCAATAAATAAAAAAAAAAAAAAAAAAAAAAAAGGCTGCCATCTAAGGGGGTGTTTTTTCCCTCCCTCTCTAATGTTGAAAAAAAAAAAATTTGATTATTGGTTGCACTGGTAAAAAAAAAAAAATAAAAAAAAAAAGGAGGTGTTTGTTTATCTTTCTGGTTAAATTAAAATGAAGAAAAAAAAGAAAACCTCCTGGCATCTTTTTCATCTTCATTTTTCATCTTCACTTTCACTTTCATCTTCATTTTGTTACTTTTGCTTTTCTCTGCTTCCGGGATTCTTTTTTCAAGTATTATTATAATTTTTTTTTTAAAAAAAAAGAATAAAAATAAAAATAAAAACAAACAATAAACATATACATTATAATAAAATAAAATAAAATAAAATAAAAATAAATAAAAACAACCAAATTTCCCAATTTATACTCCATCTTCATCCCCTTCCTTATCAACACTCATAAAATTAATAACAACAAAAATAATAAGAACAACTGCAGCTGATACTTCCAGTGCCAACTGAGGTCTTACTCCTACACTAGCATTATAAACACCAGCAAGAGCAAGTGGTAAAACTACCGATACGGCACGCGAAATAAATTGTGAAAGTCCCAAAAGTTCACCAACACGTCCACGCTCCGCATGTTTGATTAAAGCATTCCTCAATACTGGTGAATTAATACCGGCAAATACAAACCCAAAACTTAGCGCAAGAAATATATGACCAGAAGGTGCTTCGGCAAGCAATAAGTATAACGTAGCAAGAATGAAAATACCACAGCGTAGAAGCAACTTATCTGCACGGTCGACACGGGTTGCTGAGTGATCATAATGTTTGCGGAGGTATCGTAATAAAGGAGGAAACAAAACAGCTAGACCAAAGAATTTCGAAATGCCAATGATGGATACAAAGTAACCTGTTTCTACAGAAGTCCATGAAAAGACTGTTTTGACATAAAGAAAGAGAATGGGCATAATGCACATTATAACTTCAAGTAACATGGAAGAGGTGGCCAGCAATATGTAAACGTTCAGCCGTGTGCGCGGCTGCGAGCGCGGAATATGAGGAAGCCCAAATGCTTTAAGTGGTAGAACAAGTGAGTCTCTAAGAGCCAGCACGGCATCCCACAGGGGTGAAGAATAAGAAGAAGAAGAAGAAAAAAAAGAAGAAGTAGAAGAAGGAATCAAGTTATTAGTGGATCCAACTGAGGCCATGCTTTTACGGCGACGTGCATTATTAAAATGAGTGACTGAATTGCGGCGTGCACGAGCACTGCGAGACTCTGGAAGTGCAAAATAAACAAGAACCAGGAAAAAAAATTGTGCTAAAACAGATACCCCAAACAACAGGGGGATTTTGTGGTTAAAAAACGATAGAAACAAACTTCCGAGAAATGGGCCCAGAGCCATTGATCCGTAGAACATGGCTTCACTGATTGACAAAATTGGTGCTCGATGTTTTTCCTTGACACAATCGGAGATGTAAGACGAAGCAAGAATAGAAATCATGGTAGTACTTCCTCCAAGTCCTTCAATGGCTGCACCAAGCAAAATATACTTGTAAGATATTTGAAGAGAAGAGCAAGCAATAGTGATGACAAGGCTGATAAGGGAGCAAGAGACTGTCCAAAGGATGAGAGGTTTACGGCCTACACGGTCTGAGAGTGAGGAGAGCATGGGGATTGTGATTGTACCGAAAATAGCACTGATCATGGTCTGATAGGATTGGAAAAGACCAACAGCAGCGCTGATTTCCGGTGCAAAGCAGCGTGGGTCGTTAAAATGGGAAGAGGAGGAGGAGGGGGAGGAAGAAGATAATGACGACAATGATGGCAATGATGACAATGATGAAGACAACGTATCTGGAGATAATGGTGAGCCTTGGTTGGAGGAGAAATCGTGGCGGCAGATCATGTAGACCATGGCGTCCATTATTGAAGGTACGATTGCGAAAAAGCTCGTGACGTAGATAGTGAATCCCAGAAACAGGATATTATAGCTTGGTCTATGGCTAGGTGGAAGAGCTAGAAACTCAGTTTTAAGTTTAGAAGAAGAAATTGGATTGGTGTTATCATCATCATCATCATCGTCGTCGTCCGAGTTGTCTGAGTCGGATTCAGAGTTGTAGTTTGATTGGGCGGTGTTATTAGTAGTAGTGGTTGTCGGAGTAGAATTTAGTAGCAATTGTGTTGATCCATGATTGTGGTGATGGTGATGATGATGGGTAGGATTGAGTGCCTGTGTTTCATTATGGAAAACAGTTTGCTGGGCAAAGTCGTCAGCCAGGGATTCTGCAGGTTCGAATAATATAGATGTCATTTAAAAAAATGAGATGAGATTATTATTTTAAGAATAAAAAAGGAATAAGAAATTGATTGATTGATAGATGAAGGGAAGGTTTGTTTTATATGAAAATGAAAATAATATCTTGTGCGTTGCCGTTTGTGAGATTTTGTCGGAGATCCGAGACTCTAAGAAGTTTAGAATTTTAATATAAAAAATAAAAAAATAAAAAAATAAAAAAAAAAAAGTGGCTTAAAGACACGATATATATATATATATATTTATATAAATAAATATCAACAATTTCAACAAATTTATATATTAATAAAACTTTAGCTTAAGGTATATAAGAAAGAAAAGAAAAGAAAAGAAGAAAAAAAAAATTAGCAAAAAAAAAAAAAAAACCATTTAATGACAAGTTAAAAAAAAGTTAATAAATAAAAGAATTACAAATCAAAGTTTCAAAAAGTTTCTTTTTCTTATATAAATTAATCAATAAATTAATCAATAAATTAATCAATAAATTAATCAATAAATTAATCAATAAATTAATCAATAAACTAATCAATAAACTAATCAATTACAATTAATCAATCAATAAACTAATCAATTACAATTAAGTCGTATCGGCTATCCAGAAAAAAAAAAAAAAAAAAAAAAAAAAAAAAAAAACGGGCCGTATATATTTATAAATTTTTCTTTGTCAGTGCCTAAATGTCTTAAAATGGTAATTCAACGTCAGGGTTAGGATAAAAATTTAAACTTTTTTTTTTTTTTTTGTTATAAAAAAAAAAAAAAAGCAAGCAAAAAAAAAATTATTTACACTATGATGTGCTTATCAATTTTTTTTTTTTTTTTTTTTTTTTGTTATCATCATAAATTATCATAAAAAAACTTATACAAAAAAAAAACACATTTACTACCAACCAATCAATCAATCAATCCATCAATATTCATCCATCAAAACTCATCTTCCTCTTCATCTTTCTTTTCTTCTTCTTCATTATCAACTGCTAAAAAGTTAATACTCAAAAAAATCATACCAACAACCCCAGAAGCAACCTCCAGAACCAGCTGAGGTCGCATCCCTACACTTGCGCGGTATACGGCTGCTAATCCTAGAGGCAATACAATCGATACTGCACGCGAAATAAATTGCGACAACCCTAATAAAGAGCCTACATGGTCGTGATCGGCATGCTTAATGAGTGCATTGCGCAATACTGGTGAATTCACACTAGGTAACATAAATACAACAGCAAGTCCTAGGAAAACATGACCCGATGGAGCTTCTGCAAGTAACAAATAAAGAGTGGAAAGAATGGCGAGACCACAACGCAACACTAGTACATCTGAACGGTCAACACGGGTTGCTGAGTGGTCATAATGGTTACGAAGGTATCGCAACAATGGAGGGAACAAGACTGCAAGACCAACAAACTTTGATACACCTAAAATTGACACAAAGTAACCAGTTTCCACTGAAGTCCAGGAAAAAACAGTTTTGACATAGAGAAACAACAAGGGCATGACACACATAACAACTTCCATGAGCATGGATTGAGTGCTGAGTAGAATATACACATTCAGCCGTGTGCGCGGCTGCGAGCGTGGAATATGTGGGAGGGCAAAAGCTTTAAGTGGGAGAATGAGTGAGTCTTTAAGAGCATTTAAAGACTGCCAGACCAAAGATTTGGGATTTGAAGACCCACATCTACGGGAATTGTTAAAGCGGATTGAAGAGGCGGTAAGGGAACTTATAGTGCGAGATTCAGGAAGGGCAAAATATACCAAGCACAGAAACAAAAACTGGGCAAAAATAGAAATACCAAAGAGTCCTGTGATACGGTGGTCAAGCCAGGAAAGGAAAACACTACCGAGAAAGGGGCCCAAAGCCATGGATCCATAAAACAAGGCTTCGCTAATGGAGAAAATGGGAGCACGATGGTTTTCTTTAATACAATCGGAGATGTAGGATGCCGAAAGAATGGAGACCATGGTGGTACTTCCTCCGAGTCCCTCAATGACGGATCCTAAGAGCATATAGTTATAGTTAATGTTAAAGAGGGTACAAGCGAGGATGATTGACATATGTGCAAGGGAACAAGAAGCAGTCCAAAGGATTAAGGGTTTACGGCCCACGCGATCTGAGAGGGATGAGAGCATAGGGATAGTGATTGTTCCAAAAATGGCGCTAATCATTGATTGATAAGATTGGAAAATGCCAACAGCTGCCGAGATGTTTGGACCAAAACAGCGTGGATCTGTATATCTATTTTGAGGGTTTGCGAGAATGAGCATGGATGGATCTGAAGAAAGAGAAGGGTAGGATGATGATGATGATGGGGTTTGACGACAGACCATGTAGACTAGGGCATCAATGATGGAAGGCATACTTGCAAAGTAAGCTGTGACGTAGAGGGTAAGTCCTGCGAGGAGTAGGCGGTAGTTTGGTCGGAGGTTTTTTGGGAGATCATAGTAATGTGATTTAAGGGTTAAAGAGTCGTCATCATCATCATCATCATCATCATCATCATCATTGCCGTTATTATCATCATCATTATTTTGGGTTGATCCATGGTTGTTATGATTTGAGAAATGGAGAGCTTGGAATTGTTGGTTTTGGTTTTGGTTATAGATGGTTTGTTGTATAAGGTCATCTGCCATGGATTCGATAGGTTCGATTTCTATGGAAGACATTTTGTAGTATGATGAATGAGAAATCCAAGAGGTTGGTAGAAGTTTTTTTTTTTTTTTTTTTTTTTTTTTCTGAGTTAGATTTTAAGTACAAAATTGAATATGAAAAGAAAAAAAAAGAAAAAGATAAAAAGAAAGAAAGAAAGAAAGAAAGAAAGATTCTTTCAAAGTATTTTTATAGAATTACAGAAGAAGAGGTTTTTTTTTTTTTTTCCTTTCATTTTTATTTTTTATTATTTAAGAGGGAATTTTTTTATGGTAAAAGTGGATTGATTTTTTAAAACTAAAAAAATGAGAAAGAAAAAGATCCTAATTGGGAAGTTAAAACGAGGGTTAGGGGAAGGGGGGGGAGTTGGATATTATGATAATAAGAATTATTATATAATCATTAGGTGGAGTAGTTGAGAATTTATTTTTTTAATTTATTTTTATTTGGACAGATAAGAGCAAATTAAAGTGAATGTTACAAATACTTTTTAAAAGTGTAACAAAGCACGTGATTCTTATCGTAAACGGCGAAATAATATTTTTTTTTGTTTTTTTTGTTTTTTATATATATATATGAGATTGTTAAATAAATGACGAAATAAAAAAAAAAAAAGTAATTAAAGAAGAATTAAAGCAATTGAAATAATAATGAAAATATTAAATATAGATATAATTAAAAAAAGAGAATATATATATTTATATTATAATTATTTTAACTTTAATCAGAGTTAAATTATATAATTAATTAATTTTAATAAATATGTGTGTCGTTATTTTATACGAGTAATTGACATAATCGGCCAATTCCACGTGCCAAAAAAAAAAAAAAATAAAAAAAAATAAATTTGTTGATTCAAACAAACAAACAAACAAACAAATGAAATTTGAAAATTTCACTCACTGGAAAGTTAAAATGTGTGATATGTTATTTAGTGTTATTATTATTACTAGTATATATCTGTGCGCAACTATATATATATATATATATATATATATATATATATATATAAATAAATAATTATAAAAGGAAAAATAATTGAAGACGTAATGAAAAAAAAAAAAGTCCAATTAAAATAAAAAAAAATATATATATATATATAACGATATTTAATAAATAAAAATAAATTAATATTTAAATTAATATTTAAATTAATATATAAATATATATAATAAACCCCCACTTGTGTTGTTAAAATCAAAAGGTCTTTTATTTATTTATTTATTTATTTGTTAAAAATATAAAAATAAAAAAAAAAAAAATCACAGTGAATTAAATATCAACAAATAAAAAACAACCGCCGCTGCCAGCCAAAAAAAAAAAAAAAAAAAAACAAAGAGATTTTAATTTTTGATATAAAATAAATAAATAAATATAAAATAAATAAAATAAATAAAATAAATAAAATAAAAGGCTCAATGACGATATTTCTTTTATTTATTTATATTTCAATTTAATTTAATTTAATTTAATTTATTTTATTTTATTTTAAATAGATTGCCTGTTTTTTTATTATTATTATTATTTTTGTTTGAAAATCCAAAAAGTCTTTTTTTTTTTTTTTTTTTTTTTTTTTTTTCTCCTCTTTTTTATTATTTTATTTTATTATTTATTTCTAATCTTGCCAATTTTAATCTTTACAATCTTTTTTTTTTTTTTTTTTTTTTTTTTTTTTTTTTTTTTTTTTTCTACAAACCTTTTTTCTCTCTCTCTCTCCCCTCCCCAATCAACTACACTCCACCACCCCCATCCCCCCCCCCCCCCCCTTATAATCCAACTTCATTTTTTTTTTTTTTTTTTTTTTTTTTTTTTTTTTTTTTCAACTATACTTTAAATCTATTTCTAACTATACTTTCATCTAATCTTTTTTTATTTTTTTTTTCCCTCCCCTAAATATTCATCTCACCATGTCTGTTATACCAGCATTTCTTCCATCTTCAACTCCATACGCTCCTTCTCCAACTCCACCCGACTCAGACTCAAGTTGCACCCCTCCACATTCTCTCGATCTTTCATCTACTACTACTACTACTACTACTACTACTACAGCAACAACATCTACCATCAAATCTCAACTTTTCCCAGATCTTCTAACTACTACAACAACAGCAACTACTGATACTACAACCAATACTAATACTAATACTAATATTAATATTAATATTAATACTGCTGATACTGCCTCATCTTCTATCCCTTCTCCAGTCTCATCTGCTTCTCCTCCTTCTCAATCAAAACTCCAAATGAAATTCCAAGGCCTTAGTTTACTTTATGCTGATACTGCCCCAACTTCTACTTGGAAACCTCAGGTCGACCCTTGGATGAAACGCCATCATCCTGCTCAAATGAAAGACATTGCTCGCTCTGCTTCTCCTCCTCCAATTTACAATTCTCTCGAATCTCACTGGTCTTTTACAATCACTAAAACTCGTCAGGCCCTTGAATTAGATGCTATTAAAGGCCAATCTGAATCTCTTCTTGCAAATTATTATCAAATCCCAGGTTTATTAGATCCTAAACCACCTACCCTTTTAGATCCTTCTTATTCTTCTTCTTGTTCTTCTTGCTCTTCTTGCTCTTCTTTTGTGGCGGCAACTACCGGATGCGAGCACACCATTCTTCAAAAATCAAACTCTGCACGGCTTGGCGGTAGTGGTGGTACTAGTTTGCCCAGATCGTCTTCTGATTTGTCAATCGCTCATCAACACAACAATTTTACCTCCCGACCATATACTGGAGAAAGTGCTCTTATAGAAGATGAAGATGATGATGAAGAATATGATTATGCTGGCAATGTCAACGAGACTATTTATAATAATAATAATAATAATAATAACAACCCATCAAGATTTAAGACTTCTTCTACTTCTACAACCCTCCTTTCAAAAGGCTTATCGGCATCAGCTGTGCGCCGCAAGTCCGCAGCAGATGCAACCCACCACAAACCCCAATCTATTACTACCAATACTACTAATAATACTTCATCATCATTATCATTATCATCATCATCATCATCATCAAAGAGATTTCCGCCGCTTAATTCAAAGCCACGAACAAAATCATTATCCGCTGCCCAGCAGCATCAACAGCAACAGCAACAGCAACAGCAACAAGGATCCACAATATCACTTGGACCTGCTGCCTCAATCACAGGATCAATCTCAACTCCATTACTCCCACCCGCTGGAATTTCTAAACCTTCAGGTCAACGTAGAAGATCTTCCACAAATGCGCCATATGTCAAGGCTGGAGACTACGCCGCCAAGGTAGCCGCCGCCACAGCTGCTGCGGCCTCTGGTGCATATCTACTCCCAAGTCTATCATCCTCTGCTTCAACTCTTAGAAGTAAATCGTCTAGCCCTACCCTGATACCCAACGGAGCACAAGTTCCAATGGCTTACCCTATGGCGGTATCTCCTGCAGAGCAATCATCTTTTATGGGACCGGGAGAAGGTACCGGGACTTATAATCAAATGCTAGCATACCAGCCACCATCTCCGCCATCATCACCCAATTCTCATAGTGCCAAAAAAAATGGGGCTGCTGCTGCTGCTGCTGCTGCTGCTGCTACTACCCAACAAGCACAGGCACAGGCGCAGGCGCCTACTCCTCAGCAAAGAGGTTACAGCACAGTCCCATCAAGTCAAACATTAACATTCCATTCCAAGCGACGGTGCATTTCCTGTGGGTCTGATCAATCACCATGTTGGCGGCCTTCATGGTCACCAGCAGCCGGACAATTGTGTAATTCATGTGGGTTACGGTATAAGAAAACCAATGCACGATGTCTTAATAAGGCATGTGGTCGGATTCCTGCCAAGTGTGAATGGGCTAGTATTAAGAATGAGGCAGTACGGGATGCAGATGGAAAGATTCATTATCGGTGCACGTCTTGTAAGGGAGAGATTGAGGTGAAGAAGACATGAAATGGATGGGTGGATGGATAAACAGATGAATGTACAGATGAATGGATGGACAGATGGTCAAACGGACAGTTTTTTTTTTTTTTTAATTTTTTTTATTATTTTTAATTTTTTTTTTAAAAAAGTAAAAGTTAAAATAAAAATAATAAAAAAAAAGATACACTTATATATATATATATGTAAATTGGACTTTGAAATATAATAATAATAATAATAATAATAATAATAATAATTAATAATTTTTTGATATCAAGAAAAGGGTCACTATAGAAAGTGTCAAAAAAAAAAAAAAAAAAAAAAAAAAAAAAAAAAAAAAGAGAAAGAAAGTTTAAGAGATTTAATCTTTTAATAAAATGAAATATTTATATTTATATATATAATGAAATGAAATTGTTTAATTATTATTAATTTTTTTTTTTTTTTCAAAACTTTGAGATTTCAAAAAAAAAAAAAAAAAAAAAATAGTTTTCAAAACAAACCTCGGTAATTAAGTAGTAACTTTTTATTTAAAAAAAAAAAAAATAAAAAAAATTATGGAGAGAACTCTTTTTTTTTTTAGGAGGGGAGGGGTGAGGAAATGTTTTTTTTTTTAGGGTTAGGGGGAGGAAAAAATCAAATCATCCACTAAATGTTTTATTTTTATTTTTATTTTTTATTTATATTTTATTTATTTTTATTTATTTTTATTTATTTTTATTTATTTTTTATTGAATGTCTCTTTCCCCTTTTAAAATCTTCTCATCCCAACCCCTCCTTCTCCTCCTCCACACCAAACCTAATCTAAATCAACTATCTAACTATCTAACCAACCAACCAACCAAAAATGGGATCATCTACTGTGCAACCTCCACCCCAAGCACAAACACAAACACAAACACAAGCACACGACCAACAACAACAAGATCCACAACTACCTGTACCAGAATCTCGGCATCAGAAATGGGCACACGCATATGAAACGTTTCTTCTTAGTAACGCGTCAAAACTCGCAAACATGGAATCCACAATACGTTCATTATCATACTTGGCCACAGGACAAATGCAAAATGTTGAAATTGTAACGGAAACTCTTTATTCAATGCTTCAAATCTTAGGACTTTACCATGACCGTATCATCAACAATGCACTCCAGAAACTAGCACGTAAGAAATCAGGTGCTCTTCTAGGAGACCCACAAGCTCTCCGGCCATCCATGCACAATAGATATACACAGTGGGCCATGAACAAAAGTTCAGTTTATAAGGTACTGGCCGTAGCCTTGACTCTATTACGAAACACAGAACTATTATGGGAAATGGTTGGCAAACATGGATTTGCAGTCACAATTTTAGGGACTCGAATTAGTGTGGGTAAGACTTCAGGGACTGATGAAGCTGCGCGTGACAAAAACCGATGGCGCACAGTATTATGGATTGAAGCTATCAAGGCTGCTTTAAGATTGGGGTTGTTGGCTGCTTCACATGGACGAACTGTTTTATCATCTCCAATTCCTGGCCGTGATGTTGACACAGCACGTATTGTACGAGACCGACGTGGTAACTTTAAGGTTTTGGATGAAGATGAAGTTGCTGAGTATCAGCAACGAGAACAACAGCGCGAAATGCGGCGGTTGGCAATGGATGCAGAAGAACTTGCAGCGGATGATGCACGAGAATTAGAAGAAGAAGAACAAAAGGAAGAAGAAGAGAGAAGAAGAAGAAATAAGGGTAAGGGGGCATGGTGGCGGATGCCTCGGGTAGGGCTTGGGTTGCCGGATAATCCAGCGGCCGAGGATGTTGATGAATTTCTAGAACGCAAAGTATTGAGTGCGGAAGATGTGCGCGGACCGGAGGGGTTGGTCCGACGGTTGAGTCCGGTTGGAGTTGCAGCTGAAGTTATACATTTGATGCGGCCATTAGTTTATGCTTTTCTTGTATATCAGTTTAGTTTGCAACGACGACGACGACAGCAGCAGCAAGGGCAAGGGCAAGGTGTTGTGAAACGGGTTTATGGAAGTTGGACACCTTGGGTAGTTGGAATTTTGATGGAATATGGAGCACGGCGGTTGGCATTGAAGGAATTACGGGATCAAGGATTGACAAAACTTGAATCAGAAGAGTTTAAACAACGGGCGGGAGACTACGGCTGGTGGTTATTACGTGGGGGGATGTACGAAAATTGGACTCGGTGAGTGTTTTTTTTTTTTTTTTTTTGATTTGATTTTATTTGATTTGATTTTATTACTAACATAAATGGTTTTTTTTTAAGGCCATTACTTGCCGGGATTACTTCAAAACTTGAGAAAATTCCAGTGATTAATATAGCTGGAGTTCTTTTAGATGATTATTTATATTTGTTTGATAATTATCATTTTACAGGTGAGTTTTTTTTATTAACAAAGTTTTTTGTTTTTTATTAACAAGCTTTTTTTTTTTTTTTAGCATCGACATTGTAAGAAGAAGAGAGATTCAATCAATGTATTGTTAATAATTTCTCAATTGTAAAAGTTTTTGTTTATTATACTAATGATAATGATGATGATGATGATGATTATTATTATTGAAAAAAAAAAAAAAAAAGAAAAAAAAAACAATTGATTTTTGTATGAGGGATAATAGAAGAAACCTTTTTTTTTCCCATTTGATTTTGATTGATTTAATTTAATTTATTTAGACAATTGAATATATAGAATAAAATAAAAAAAATACAAAATAAATAAAAATGAAAATGAAAATGAAAATGAAAATGAAAATGAAAATGAAAATGAAAATGAAAATGAAAATGAAAGAAATAAAGAAGATTCTTTAAAGAAGATTCTTTTTTTTTATTTTTTATTTTTTATTTTTTATTTTTTATTTTTTATTTATTTTTTTAGGGTTTAAGCATAAATGAGGGAAGGAAGGTCTGATGATGGCTTTTTTTTTTTTTTTTAGTTACTAACTAAAGTGTAGTAGTAGTAGAGTGAAAAAAAAAAAAATAGACATATATAAAGAAAAGAAAGAAAAGAAAGAAAGTTTTTTACTATTATTTTATTTACTATTATTTTATTTTATTTTAATTTTTTTTTTTTTGGGGGGAGGGAGGATTATAAAAAGACAAGAAGATCCTAATTGAAAAGAAAAAAAAAAAAAAAAAGAAAAAAAAAAAAAGAAGAAAATTTCATTTCATTTCATATTTTATTTTCATATTTCATTTATTATTATTTTAATTTATATATATATATATATATATTTATTTTAAAAAAAAAAAAAAAGAAAATAAAACAAATTCAAAAAGTATTTTATTATTTTTATATATTCAAATTTAATTTTTTTTTTTTATATTCAACTATTTTCCCTCATCTTTGTGACATTACATTTTCTTTTTCTAAGAACACGTAACCTTGTTACAGTTACAATTACAATTATAATTACAATTACAATTACATTTATAACTTTTTCATTGTTCTTAAAATTCTTTGTTACACTTAAAAAAGAAAATAAAAGAAAATAACAGAAAATAAAAGAAAATAAAAAAAGAAAAAAAGAAAAAAAATGCCATTGCATTACCACCACCACCACCACCAACAACAGCAGCAGCAGCAGCAGCATCAGCAGCAGCATCAGCAACAACAACAGCAGCAGCAGCACCCAAATAATCCCGCGAGCGCATCACCCAACACCTCCTCTGCCTCCGCCTCTTCTCCACCACCACCACCACCACCACCTTCTATTACTATAACATCATCATCATCATTATTATTATCATTACAACCACAACCACAACAACAACAACAAACCTTCAATTCCAATTCCAATTCCAATTCCAATTTTAATTTTAATTCAAACTCTTCTTCTTCTTCTTATCATACCTCTTCATCTTCATCTCCTCCTTCTAAACATAAACTTCATTACCCCTTTCACCACCACCACCACCACCACTATTTTCACTCATCATCATCATCATCATCATCTTCTTCTTCTTCTTCTTCTTCTTCTTCTTCTCCAACCATTTCTTCTTCATCTCCTAACTCAATTACTCCCTCTATCTCAACAGGTTTCCTAAAACGTTCAAATAATAATACTCTAAAACCTTTTTCTTCTTCTACTTCTACTTCTACTTCTACCTCTCCTGACCCCTCCTTTACTTCTACTTCTACTTCTTCCCCCTCCTCTATTTTAACCTCCCTTAGGAAAACCCTCTCAAAAGACACTTATACATCTACAACTACTAAACCTTCTACAACACCTATTAATACTTCCAATATCTCTCCTTTAAAAATGGCTTCCTCTTCTCCTGCTGCAGCAGCTGCCGCTGCATCTGCTCTTGCCGCTCAACAAGGCTCTACCCCTACCCCCGCAGCAACTTCCCTTCAATCCGCAGCGGCTGCCTCCGCCGCAGTTGTCTCCCACCAACACACACCTTCCGATAAGGTAACTCCAAAAACAGAGACTACTGGTGCTGGTGCTGGTGGTGCTACTGCTCCATCTACAACTCCTGCAACAACAACAACAACATCAACAGCCACAACAACAACAGGCCAACAACAGCCACAACAACCCATTTCATCTGCAGTTTCTACTCCAGGTGGATCTTCTTCACCAGCAACTTTACCTGTCTCGTCTACTTCCTCCTCTCAATTGCCTAAACGTTCAACTATCTCAAAGGGTAAATATACTCTCTCGGACTTTCAAATCCTCCGTACCTTAGGAACTGGCTCCTTTGGACGTGTACATCTTGTCCGCTCTGTCCATAATAACCGCTACTATGCAATCAAGGTACTTAAGAAAGTCCAGATTGTTCGGATGCGTCAGGTCGAACATACCAATGATGAACGGCGCATGCTTAAACTAGTTGAGCACCCGTTTCTTATTCGCATGTGGGGGACTTTCCAAGATAGTAAGAATTTGTTTATGGTTATGGATTATATTGAGGGCGGTGAATTATTTTCTCTTTTGCGTAAATCTCAACGTTTCCCTAACCCAGTGGCCAAGTTTTATGCTGCAGAGGTGACGCTTGCCTTGGAGTACTTACACTCTCACAATATCATTTATCGTGACTTGAAGCCGGAAAATATTTTGCTTGATAAAAATGGTCATATTAAAATTACTGATTTTGGGTTTGCAAAGGAAGTGGCTGATGTGACATGGACTCTTTGTGGTACTCCAGATTATATTGCTCCTGAAGTGGTGACCACCAAGGCCTACAATAAGTCTGTAGATTGGTGGAGTTTGGGTATTTTGATTTACGAAATGCTGACAGGTTATACTCCATTTTATGATCACACTCCCATGAAGACTTATGAAAAGATTTTGGTGGGTCGTGTGGAATATCCCTCCTTTTTGAACCCAGATGCTGTTGACTTGCTACAGAGACTTATCACTAAAGATTTGACTCGTAGATTGGGTAATCTTCAAGGTGGTTCTCAAGATGTAAAGACTCATCCATGGTTTGCAGAAGTTATTTGGGAAAAACTCTTGTCAAAAGATATCGAAACACCTTATGAACCTCCTATCCAATCAGGTGTTGGTGATACATCATTGTTTGACCGGTATCCCGAGGAAGAACTTGATTATGGGGTTACTTCACCAGACCCTTATGCCAACTTGTTTACGGATTTTTAATGACTTGAATTTGAATTTGAATTTGAATTAAATTGAATATTTTTTTTTTTTTTTGATAGCTGTAGTAGTAGCTGATTATATTTTAATGCAAGAGGTTTTTTTTTTTTTTTTTTTTTTTTTTTTTTCTTTCTTACTTTATATTTGAATTTTTTTATATATATATATATATATATAGCTTTTCTTATTATTATTGTAAATGTTTTTATTTTAATTTTAATTTTTTTTTTTAAAAAAAAAAGTTATTTTAACTTTTAATATCCACGTTCACCAGCTTCACAAATATGAATAGACCGACCCCATTCTGAATTAAGAATTTGTTTAGCTGTAATTCTTCTTGATGGTATAGGATCCAAAATAGAATAAATCACATTACGACACCTTGCTCTTCTTAATGCTTCAATAGGTTCAAATCCATTCTTTTGTTTGCGACCTTGTAAATATTTCTCATATAATGGATCTTCTTCTAAATTTGCCACTTGCCATAAATATGACCCAGTCCTCATTACCATATAAATAACACCAGTTGCCCAAACATCCACATGACGAGGATCAAATTCTCGATCTTTAAATTGTTCAGGTGCAATGTATGGTTTAGACCCACATACTCCTGATGATAAATGAACCTCTGTTTCCCATGCCATTTGGAAACATTCCGCATTACCAAAATCACTCACCTTAAGTGCCCCATTACATGTCAATAATAAATTCTCTGGCTTTAAATCACAATGTGCAACTCCCATAGAATGCATGTATGCCACACCACGTACAAGTTGTTTAAAAAAGCAATCTGCTTCAGCTTGTTTGAGTCCACCTTCTGATGATAAAATTAGTGAATATAAGTCTCCTCCATCACAATATTCCATCACCTGACAATATTCTCCTCGACCGTCTTTCATAAGGTCCAATGTATGGATAATATTATTATCATGTAATGATGATGAAATGCAATATTCAGATGTTAATCGTTTACTAAAGTGGGCCTCTGATTCTTGAACTCGCCGCCGAAACTCCTTCACTGCATATAAGGTCTCCCGTTGTAGTGTCTTGTCAAACTTATGAGACACTCGAACTGTCCCGTATGTTCCCTTACCTACAATTTCTTGGCATTTGCCATATTTTTGCAGCAACGACTGTGCCACAGCTGCAGCTGGTGTGCTGCCACTTGTTGTTGCTGCACCTACTGATGATGCGCTGCCACTAAGATGTAGTCCTGTAGTGATTCGTCGTGTTGTATTAGAACTTAATGCACTTGCTGGTGAAACACCCTTTACAACTGAGTTGACATCTCGTTCACCCTTTTCAATTTGTGTAATGAGTCCAGACATGAGTGATAGGTTAGGTCGTCGGCCAGAGGGAGTTGTTCCTCTACCACCAGCTTTACCAATAAGCCCACTCGCAATATTTGGTGCATGGTCTGTACCATCACCTAGGCTTGAAAGTTGTGAAGGATCTAAACCCAAGTCTGGTAATGCTGAAGTTGCATCGTCACGGACTTTTTTACCTGTGCCCACCATTTCACGTAGCATACCACCTAGTTTCTCAAGCCGCCGTGCAGATCGCAAAAAGTGTAAGTGATGACCGAGTACTGCAGCTACAGCAACGCCGTTAATGAGGGCTGCCGGGACTGTAGCTCCTGAGCCATTTACGGATGCTGATGCTGAAGAAACGGATGCAGCGGCTGTTGAGGCTGATGATGATGATGAAACTGTAGAACCTACAACGTTTAAAAGAGTAGTATAATCATCGGCCACTTCGCCAAGTACAACAAACCGAGAAGTTTTGAGTTGTGAGGCAATAGGTTTGGGGATTCCAGCCCAGTTGGCAGGTACTAATAGACAGGTAGCAGCATGAGATTCGGCAACACTTCCTGGGACGTGTGCGGTAGATGCCAAGGAGGAGGGAGGTCCTGGAGAAGCTCCTGAGCGGGCGGAGGATGAAGATCCCGAGGTAATGATACTTGCGGTATCATCTGGGAGTAGTAACGATGATGTCACTAATTTTGATGGTTTTGCAGCAGATGCGTTTTGCTGTTGTTGTTGTTGTTGTTGTTGTTGTTTTGGGGGACCCACCAATGTGGTAGGATGAGTTTCTATTGTGGCTGTAGAGAAGGATGACGGCAGAGCAGCCAGGGAGCCGTTTGATTGTTGAGAAGGTAAGGAGAGTTGAGGTGAAGATGTTGGAGAGATTGGTTGAACAGCAGCAGCAGCAGCAGTTCTTGAAGAAACCTTTGTTTGTGCAGGAGGAGGAGCATTAGGAAGAGCATTTGCAAGGCCTACCATGGCTAGAGGATTGGCGGGATTTTGATGTAAAGGTGGGGGGGGACTTGGAGACGCAGAGTGAATAGAAGATTGATTATTGTTAGTAGTAGTAACTGATGCTTTAGATGGTTTTATAGATGATTCCTCAAGAACAACTCCCATAGAAGGATGCTGAGAAGGATATCCAGGTGAGACTGGAGAAGTTGGAGAAGTTCCGTTGTTAATGGGATAAGAACCATTTGTAGGTTGTTGTTGTTGTTGTTGTTGTTGTTGTTGTTGTGGTGGTGGTGGTGGTGATTGTAAACTGGTGGTTCCATTTGTATGAGGAGGAGGAATACAAGTCTGTATAGGAACTGAAGGACCCGGTTGTTGTTGTTGATGATTCCCAAACATGGACTTGAGTTTACCACTAATTGACATTTTACGGCGAGAGGTCGTGTGCAGTTGTTGTTGAGAAGATTGTGGGGTTGAAGATTGTTGTTGTTGTTGTTGTTGCTGTTGCAGTTGTTGAGTATAGGGTTGAGGAGTTGATTGTGAAGCTGTTGGTTGTGGGACTTGTGGAAGACCCGAGTGAGAAGCCATGGAGTTATGTCTGCTTGAGATGAAACGATGAGATGAAGAGATTGAAGCTGAACTTCCACTGCGACTTACAGAAACAAGCTGTGGAGATTGTTGGTGTTGGTTTGAAGGAGTGGATGTTGTAGATGGGTGTTGTTGTTGTTGCATTGTAAAAAAGAAAAGAGGGGATTTTAATAAATTTTTTAATAATATAAATATAAATAATTAATATAATAAAATAATAAAATATAATAAAATATAATAAAATAATAAAATGGTTTTATTATTATTTTTAAAATTGAGGGCTTTTGTTGTTTGTTATTAAAAAAAAATCAGTTTAGACCAAAAAAAAAAAAAAAAAAGTTTAATTTTTTTTGGCTTTTGAAAGTTGTCGATGTTAATGTTGATATTCTCTATGTGGGTGATTAAGAAAAAAAAAAAAAAATTTAAATTTAAATTTAAATTTCTTGTGTGTGTGGCGGTTTTTATTTATTTATTTTTTTTTTTTTTAAAAAAAAATTTAAAACAAATAAATAAAAAATAAAAAGTTGAGGCAGGTCAAGTTGAGGCAATTAAAGTTTTTGTGTTCAATTCTATTGCGTTGAACTCTTTTTTTTTTTATTATTCTTGCAGGGTTCAAAATTAATGCAAAAAACTCTTTTTTTTTTTTTTTTTCCAATTCCTATTTTATAATCAAATATATATATATATATATCTAATGAAAAATATAAAGAAAATTTCGTTTTAATAAATAAATTAAAAATAAATAAAAAAAAAAGAGATTTTTTTGTAATTTTTTGTAAATTTTTTTTTTTTTCTTTCTCTATAAATTTGATTGATTCCGAAGTTTTATTCTTTGATGACCTTTAAAGACACGCTGTGTGTGGATTGTCTTTGTGTGTGTGTGTGTTTTTAATTTATTTAAAAAAAAAAAAAAAAAAAAAAAAAAAAAAAAAAAAAAAAATTAAAAAAAAATTTTTTTTTTTTTTTTTCACACTCATATAGTATTACATAATACTAAACGTTAAGATTAGTAAAACTGGCACCGTAACAGACAGGGAGAGACAAAAGAGAGAGAGCCTTTTTTTTTTTTTTTTTTTTTTTTTTTTTTTTTTTTTTGTGGGCTCTTTGTGGCTGATTAGCCACATTGTAATAATGACAAAAAAAAATTAAAAAATAATTAAAAAAAGAAAAGAACAGAAAAAAAAAAACACTTATTTTTGTTACACATTTGTTACATTTATGTTACATTTATATATTGTAATGTCATAAATAATTTATTTACAAAAATAATTAATGACTAATCATGACTAATTTATAAAAATTTTTAATTTTTTTATTTTTTTCAAAAAAAAACCTCCATTTCATTAATGGAAAAAAAAAAAATTAATAATAATAAAATATAATAAAAATAAAAATAAAAATAAAAAAATAAAAAATAAAACCATCTCAATCTCAACTTTCCATTCTTCCCTCCCCCCCTCCCCCCCAATACATGTTTAGAAAGCCTTTAAACCAAGTTCGCTTTCTGTCAAAAATGGGTAAAAGAAATACTGTAAGTTTATTTTATTTTATTTTATTTTATTTTATTTTATTTTATTATCATTATCATTATCATTATCATTATCATTATCATTATCATTATCATTATTAAATTTTTTTTTTTTTTAATTATTTTTCTAACACTCTTTTAGAGATCTAGAGCTCGCGTCTCAGGTAACTGGGAATCTGCAATCAAAGAAAATGCAAAATGGCAAGCTTATTACACTGGCCAACCAAACCTATTCTCAAACGAACAAGACTTTGAAGACTTTAAAAAGGCTTGCCAACAACCTCTCCCATTAACCTTCCGCATTACCTCATCTGCATCTGCTTGCAAAGAAGTCCAGCAACTCATTGAAAACGATTACGTCAAACATACACAAAACATTGTCTTCAATGGTGAAAATATCCCTCCACCTAAACATCTCCCCTTTTATAATATCCCAGGACTCGCATGGCAAGTCGATGTCGGTAAACAAGTCATTCGTAGATCAAAGGAATTCACTCGTCTTCAACGATTCCTTGTAGTCGAAACTGATGCTGGAAACATTTACCGTCAAGAAGCTGTCTCCATGATCCCCCCCCTCTTCCTAGATGTCCAACCTGATAATGCTGTCATTGATCTTTGTGCTGCTCCAGGTTCTAAAACTGGCCAACTTATTGAGGCCCTCCACAGAGATGGCCCCTCCTCTGTCCCCTCAGGCTTTGTTCTTGCAAATGATTCAGACTATAAGCGTGCCCATATGCTTATCCATCAAATCAAGCGACTCAACTCTCCTAATCTTCTCGTCACAAACCATGACGCTCAAATGTTCCCTAAAATGAAAACCGCTTCTGGTGATGTTCTCAAGTTTGACCGTGTACTTTGTGATGTCCCCTGTTCAGGTGATGCAACAATGCGCAAAAACATTAACGTTTGGACTGACTGGACCATTGGTAATGGCAATGGTCTCCATGCAACCCAAATCAACATTCTTCTCCGTGGTATCCAACTTCTTAAACCAGGTGGCCGTCTTGTTTACTCAACATGCTCTCTTAACCCCATTGAAAATGAAGCTGTGGTTGCAGAAGCTCTCCGTCGTTGTGGATCAGCCCTTGCTCTCGTCGATGTTTCCCAAAACCTTCCTGAGCTTATTCGTAGACCTGGTGTTTCTACTTGGCGTGTTCAAAACAAGGCTGGTCAATGGGTTGACCCTCCTTCTCCAGCCTCTGCTTCTGATGAAAATGCAAACTCTGATGAAGCTAAAACCCCAGCCATTCCTACTTCTAAAAACCTTCTCCCCTCTCTCTTCCCTCCCTCGGAAACTGAAGCTAAGGAGTTTGGTCTTGACAAGTGTGTCCGTGTTTACCCTCACCTCCAAAACACTGGCGGTTTCTTCATTGCTGTTTTTGAGAAAAAAGATACCAAAAAGAGATCTGCTGAGGAAGAGACCCAAGATGTGAAGAAGGTCAAGGCTGAAGAAACTTCAGAACCTGCTGAGGAAACTTCAAAGCCTGCTGAAGAAACCTCAAAGCCTGCTGAGGAAGCTCCAAAGCCTGCCGAAGAAGCTGAAAAGCCTGCTGAAAAACCAGTTGAAAAACCAGTTGAAAAGCCTGCTCCTACCACCACCAAGGAAAAAGTCCCTGTTTCTTCCCAAACTGATGAAGAAGTCTTCCGCTTTATCCCCTCCAATAATGAACTTCTTGAAAGCATTTGGAACTTTTACAAGTTCAACACCGAAACTTTCCCGGGTGGCCGCGATACCCTACTTGTCCGTAACAATACTGGTATCCCCTCTCGTGCCATCTACTACGTGTCCCCCAGCATCAAACCCTTGCTTGAGCTTAATGAGCAAAAAGTCAAGTTTGTTCACGCTGGTCTCCGAATGTTTTCCAAACAAAGATCCCCAGGAAGCCCCTGTCCATGGCGTGTCCATGCCGAAGCAATTTCCATTGTGGCCCCACATGTTGCCCGTGATGGATCTGGCCGGTTCTACGTGGCCAAGGATATCAACACCTTGAGACTACTTGTGACAAATGAGTTCCCTAATTTTGCTGCTGTCAAGGAGGTCGATGAGGGACTTGCTGAATTTGTCCAAAACTTGCCTGAAGGTACTTTTATCTTGGAAGTGCCACGAATTGGCCAAACTAGCACTATTGTGTCACAGGCCGTTTTGGACCAGCCGTTGTTGTACCCAGTGTGGCGTGGCAAGTCATCAGTTAACTTGATGCTGGCTAAACAGGATTTGGCAGAGCTTGTACACCGTGTCTTTGGTGAGGAGAATATCAAGACTCGTCAGACTAATAATAACGGTGCCGGGGTGAAGAGAGAAAAGAGTGAAGATGACGAGGAACCAAAGGTTCAGGAGGTTGAAGAGAGTATTGAAGAAAAGACTGAAGAAAAGTCTGAAGAAAAGACTGAAGAAAAGACTGAAGAAAAGACTGAAGAAAAGACTGAAGAAAAGACTGAAGAAAAGACTGAAGAAAAGACTGAAGAAAAGACTGAGGAAAAGGTCGAGGAACAGAATTAAAAAAACTAAAAAATTAGGATTAAATGATAGATTATAGAAAATAATAATTATTAATTTGAATAAGTAAATTGAAGAACCATTTATTAAAATATAAAATTACAATTACAATTACAATTACAATTAGATTTATTACCAGTTTGTATAGTAAATGTTAGTCAATTGACTTTAAAACAAGTTTTATTACCCCACAGATGAATAGGAAAAAAAAAGCCTAGAGTTAGTTACACGAGAAAATAATCTGATTTAATTTGACTTGTTTTTTTTTTTTTGTGTGGAGAATTAAGAGAAATCTTTTGCTTGGCTTATCAGTAACTTATTTATTGAGGAAACCAAAAAAAAAAAAAAAAAATAATAATAATAATAATTATGATTCAGAGTCATTTTTATGGGAAAATAGAAGGCCAACTCCGTTAAGAAAAAAAAAGAAAAAAAAAAAAAAAGCTTAAACTTAGAAATTATTTTTTTTTATTTTTTTTTTTTTTCATTTTGATATATATACTTAATAGTTTAAGTATCAAAGAAACATTTTTTATTTGTCAAAAAAAAAAAAAAAAATTTTATCTTATCTTTCTTATCTTAATTTTTCTTTAAAATTCCCCCGAAAAAAAAAAAAAATAAATAAAAATACATCTTTTCATCGGTGCCGTATACAACAATTAATTGCGATTTTTTTTTTATTTTTATTTTTTTGAATAATCAGTAACTTTTGTTTAGGGCAGAAAACAAATTTGAACTTTCATTTAATGTTTATTTATATTCACATTACTCATATTTTTTTGAATTGCTTCTGCTATTGTTATTATTATTTTACTCTTTTTTTTTTGTTTTCTTTTCTCTCTGAATAAAACAAAATGGTATTTTTTCTTTTCTTTTCTTTTGCTTATCTGTTTTTTTTTCTTCTTCTATTAATTCAAAATATCTATAATATACATATTCTAATGTACCGAAATAAAACTATATAAGCCGCGGGAAATAAAAAAAAAAAAAAAAAAAAAAGAGAAGAAGAAGAAGAAAACACAAACAAAACTCTTTTGAGTTATTTTTTTTTTATAAAAGGAACTTTAAAATAAATGATCTTTAAAGAATTGATTTACATTTAGATTGAGATATTATTTCAATTATTATTTGTATATATTATATGGTTCTCTCATACTTGTAATTTGTCTTTTTTTTTTCTTTTACAAACATTCAATTGGACAAAAAAAAAACAATACAAAATATTTTAGAGATAATTTATTGATTTTTTTTTTTTTAATTTTTTTTTTTGACTGATGTTGAACAAACACTCAAACATTACCAATTTTTCTATCTATCAATTGATTTTATTTGAAATTACGCACAAATCAACAACTTCTAATTAATTCAATGTTATTAAAGTCTCAATGGGCTGACTTTTTCTTTTTTTTTTTTTTTTTTTTACCTTAAACAAGCAAACAAACAAACAAACAATTTATATCTACGTCACAGAGATATATAATTCAAGGTACTTAACTTAATGTACTACTACTACTAACTTAAGTTCTCAAAACTTTGAAATATATTATGATGATGATGTCACTGAAAGAACAAATTTATGGGCCATTCTAGTATAAATTTATATCAAAAAAAAAAAAAAAAAAAAATAATTGTAATATAACAAATTACTATAATAGGTAATAACATTTAGTGCGGCTTTCTATATTATTTTATACCAGAATAGAATCAAAATCAGAATCCAAAGTATTTTCTTTCTTTCATTACCTTTTTTTTTTTTTTTTTTTTTTTTTCTATTTCTTTATTAACTCACTCATAATCAATCTATTTAAACAAAACAAATCAATTTATCAAATCAATAATGACCAAAATAATAAGAATTGATTTGGATATCACATATACTTTTCTTTATGGCATATTTCACAAACAACTATCATTATTTAAAATCATTAAAAAAAAAATCTAATATGCTTTATTTAAAAAAAATTCTTTCTTTTCAAATAATTAGAAAAAAAAAAAACAACCATGAAAGTTTCCCTGGGATTAATATATATCCCGAGAACATTTATCACAATCCTTCCCAGTTTAATTTCCATGACCCTCAAAAACTACCAAAACTCCAGAATTGATTACAATTCAAAATATTAACAAGTTTATAATAGCTGCCAATTTTTTTTTTTTTTTTTTTTTTTTTTACAGTTTTGACAAGAATACCAAAGGAGGAATTTTTTTGATTTTTGATTTTTGATTTTTGGTTGTAGAAAATTTGATGTTTTGATTTTGATCATTGATGATTGTATTATTTTTCAAAGCTAATAAGAACAATCTTGGTGATCAAGATTTTGAAAACAAATTGGTCAAATATTTTTATTATAAAGTTTAAACATAATAATAATTATAAAACACTTTTTTTTTAGGTGATACATCGATTACTTTGAAACCCTTGAAAAACTTGTGATTACTTGATAGTGGTATATATATTTCTCTCTTTTTTTTTTTGGTATTAAGACTGCTAGTCATATTATAACTAAATTAATACCCTAAAAAATCTTTATGATTCCAAAATAATAAGTCTTAAAAGGTTTCCTCATATATATATCAATAACCAACCTGGTATTTTAATTTTAAATTTTTAAAAGAAAAAAAAAATTTTTTTTTAATTTTTTTTTTAAAGAAAGGTACATAATATTATCATCAATATATCAAGAGAATGATATCTGAAGCCGAAAAGAATAAAGCTTAAGACGAGAAAGATTCTAAGAGAATTGTTTAAAAAAAAAACGGGTTTGAGATATCCTGCGCTAGCACATGGACACTTTCAAGTACAACATCAAAATCAAAATTGTTTATATTCTTTTTTTTAATAGTCTTTTACAAGTACAATTTCTCAAGAGCAGTCCGCCCAATATACGCGCGTTGTAACCTTAACACGCCAATATACTGCATAAGCAACTTTCGGTAATCCTGCTTAAACGTATTCATTTCTGCACGTTCCAACAGGTCCGTGACGGCTGCCAAAACTTGGTCCACAGCTTGCACAATTTCCTTTGTCCTTAAAACTATTCGTGCGTCTTCATTATTAGACGACAGATCCAGCTGCTCGTCCCAATTGTGACCAACTACACGGGTATACCGCATTCCCTCTGCATCACGCAGTTGTGCAACCGCACAACCAAGTAACCCGTGAATAATTCCCTTGCCCTCGCGCACATTTTCAAGTACCTTGGCAATACTTGCATGTTGTGCTTGATCCAGAGTCCCCGTACTTAGTCGTTTAGACTCATCGCCGTATCCTGCCCTAACAATGTATTCCAACAAATTTGCAGCTGTCAGTTCAATTCGTCGTTGTACTACACGTACATCATAAAGTTCCAAAGAAAGATAAACCGACTGGGTACTGTAAACACTTGAGCGGTCACCGGCATGGCTTCTAACTAGCTCGCCAAACAAAATCGAAGGTTTATCAGTAGAAGCCAAGAACCAGCGACCAGAGCTGCGTGGAGTCTCACGTTTTAGTTGTAGCTGGCGTTCGAGACTCAATGTGCTTCCACTATAATATGATTCAGCTTCATATGGGCTATAAACGCTGCTTGCTAAGCTAGCACGCGACATGCGGTTGGGCAGCCTCGACTCTGATGGGGAAAGTGGGAAAATCAAGTCTGGGGAATTGGACTCAATGGGTATAGCAGCCTCACCAATGGGTAAAAAGTAAACATCGCCAGAGGAATAGGACGAAGTTGTGTAACCAACATAAGACAAGCTTGCGTTAAAGAGGTGCAACACGGGGTCTGGCTTTTCACTAGCCGAAGCAATGACACTGTGTCTGACTCTAACTTGGACTAAAAATGTTCTAGTTTCATTTGCAGCCATATCACCTAGTTTGACTAAATGTTCCTTAACTCGTTCTTGGAGTGGCATTTCCTCTGTGGATGTTGGTGATGGTAATAAAGGTGAGGGTAAAGGTTCAGCTTGAGACACTGGAGTTTTATCAATTGAATGTCCTGAAATTTCAGAAATCACCACCAAATCATCGTCAGAAGACTCGCGGGCATCTTTAAGCAAATCGATACAAAGAGATACCTCTGAATAAGCCATTTCCTGGGTTGCACGAAACCTTCTAAGCATTGCACGTTGAAGTTCCTCCCATTTGCGCAGATAAACATAAGTGCCAGTTGTGCGTGTTGATAAAACATCCAAATCATCGGCCAAGTGGTTCATAGTAACACCAATGGTGTTAATCTTGACATGTGCAGCCGTGGCTCTATTGACCACGCGCTCAATTCCCTGATCCAGATTTGTTGGGTCCCCGATAGTTGTTGCCGCTGAGTCTGAAATGACATATATTGAAGAAATTGGGTTCATGGACTTGCGGTCATCTAAAACAGTTAGGGCACGCTCAAGACCATCAATCATATCAGCTCTTGAGCCGTGCATGCCGTTAGGTCCTAGAGACTCTACGATAGAAGGCCAGCCTTTCCATGGTCCTGATGCCAGGCCGTAAAGCTCGTTTGGATTACTATTTCTGTTGAGAGATTTTGAAGAAGTGCCACCACCATATGGGACCAAGGCAATACGGTCGAAAAGTTGCATTTCAGAAATAATGGCAGAGATTGTTTCTTTAATAGCGAAAAATTTTGATCCCATGGGTGAGCCAGCAATGGGGACCATGATGACGGTATCAGTGGGGATATGTGAAGTAGTTGGAGCTCTTGGAGACGATGGGACGAGTTCCGAGTCTGGGAACATTTGAGAAGCAATTGATTGGCCTTCATAGTCATCTGGTGGAACAAGCCGAGTAAGAGGGAAAACATGACCCCAGTTCATCAAAGCAGTATGCCAATTTTCATAAGAGATAATGTCTGAAGTTTTGAGGTATATGGTGGGCACATCTGGGGTTGCCAAGTTGAGGGTCATTTTATATTCTTTTGGATCGTCATTAGGCATGGAGGGAGGGAAAGTAATTGAAATCAAGTGTTTGCGGATATTGACTATACCCATGAGTTGAGGGGCACGGCGGAGGGCACATGGGAGGTTTGGGAAAACACGAACAAAAATGAGTGTATTTTCAAAAAGGAAACAATCCAAGTTTTGTTTCCATTTTTGTTGGTTTGCAGAGATTGAGAATTTATCATGAAGACGGAGGGTACCAAACTCGGAGAGTTCGAGTTGTTTCCAGTCTGGGACTGAATCCTTGACATGTTGGGTAAGATCAGCGCGGACCTTGGAATCAATTTCTTGAGGCTGATTGAGATAAGGATCATTTTGGGAGAGTTCTGGTTTAGGAGGGGAGACGACTGTGACGAGGGTAGTGATAAAAGTATCTGATGATTGATCTGGGACAAAGACTGTTTCAAGTTCTGGGGTAAGTATGACGGAGGGGAGTTTGTAACGCCTTAGGCGGGCTTTAAGGATTTCATCTGGAATACCAGCTGAGATTTCCTGATTTTTAAAAGTATTGAGGATACTAGCTATTCCAGAAAGAGAGGAAGAGTTTGAAATGATACTTTTGAAGGGGGATGAGGTTTTTTCAGTGTAGAAGGAGTCAGTGTGAGAATCTCGGTCGCTAAAAAGAAGGTTTGTTTCAGAGTCTGCCGTGCGCGGCGTTATACCTTCAGATTCCCAAGGGGCTATAGCAAATTGCATTGTTGTTGATTGTTTGTGGAGGCGGGCAGAATCTGTAAAATGGGCTACTGGGGAGGACTGGGCTTCGATTGAATCAAGCATATCTTTAGGTGAAGAGATGAGGTCTTGTTGTTGTTGTTGTTGTTGTTGTGGGAGGGTTATTGGAGTCATATCTTGTAGAATGAATGCATAATCTTCTGAACATTCTGAAGAAGAAGAGTCTGGGGCCAATACTATTTGTCTGCAAAGTTCTTTATAGATTGTATTATCAAGTGGGATAGCTTTTTGGTTACACAATAAGCAATCAGGCATTGCAGCATCAGGGTTAACATTATCAAAGAGGGCAGGGTCCTTTTCAGCAAAGAGAAGTAAGCATCCGAAATGGCAAACGTGGGAGCATTCTAAAGCCAAAACACGTTCATTTGTTAGTTGGATTTCAAGAGATTCTTCACAGAAACAACATGATTGGTTTGCAAATGATTTTTCATGGCGAGTTTTTAGAGAGTAAGGTGCTACTGGTGGTGGAGTTGGGCTGATTTCCTGGGTGGTATTATTATTACTATTGCTATTACTATTACTATTACTAGTACTAGTAGGAGATGTTTGTGAAAAGTGAGTATAAGTATTGTGGATATAAGGTGTTGGTTGGATACGAATATCTAATGGTGGAGCGAATTTTCGAAGAGAAGGTCTCCATGAGGATTTACGTTGTTTCTGTAAGGAAATTGGGGTTTGTGTGAGTGGAATGTCATTATAGGCTGTCATATTTGGGGTATATATAATAATAATAATAGGATATTAGAAGAAGATTTTTTTTTTTTTTTAGAAAAAAAAGAGAAAATACAGGAGGGTTTTTATAATAGATAAAAAAAATAAAATAAAAATAAAAATAAAAATAAAAATAAAAACTGAGGATATTGATGTCTTTTTATTATGAAATGACTTTTTTTTTTTTTTTCTTGGGTATATATAAATAAATAAATAATTTTTTTTTTTTTTTGTTACTCCATAATAATAATTAATGAAGACCCTGGTCATTTTCTGGGCACATTTGTTGCAGTGGAGTAGGAAGGCGGCAGTCTATTAATCAATTAATCGATTAATCAGTCAATTCAACTGTAAATCGATTTATCTTTTTCTCTTAACAAAAAAAAAAAAAAAAAAAAAAAGAAATTGGCAGCAGCAGCCCAGCAGTAGCAGCAATAACAGCAGCAGTATTAGTGAGTTCACAACCTGTAAATAGGCCTGTGCGCCATGATGCATTCGTGCATTAGCGTGCGTATTAAAAAAAAAAAAAAACTTTTTTTTTTTTTTTTTTTTTTTTAATAATTGAGACCAGGGTTTGTTTGTATGTAAGAATTTGTGGCAGAGGGGGAGGGGGGGGAGTACGCACCAAATGATTTGTATAAAAAGGAAAATAAAATAAAAAAAAAAAAAATTTGATTGATTGTGGTAGTGATAGTGATAGTGATAATGGTGGTTGTAATGCGGCTAAGAGGAAGAAGAAGAGGAGGAGGTGTTTCGGGTGTTAAAAATTTTTTTATTTTTTTTTTTATGTTTATGTTTAAGTACCGGGTCGGTCTCATTTTAAAAAGAAAGATTTTCATTTATTTCGGGTACTTCATACAAAAAATAAAAAAAAAAGAAGAAAGTTTGTTTAAAATTTAATTTTAACTATATAGTTATAGTTAAGTGGGGTTATTAAAGAAAAAATTAGTTAAAGTTTTAACTAATATCATCAAAAAAAAAAACCCAAGTAACAATAGCCAAAGACATTTACACGTGATATGTTACAACCAATTTTTTATTTTAAAACAATATTTTTTTTTCTTTTTTGTAATACTTCCCAATATTATTAATTATTAATTATTAATTTTCTACACTTGGACTTGCCCTGCCTTCTTTTTTTTTTTTTTTTTTTTTTTTTTTTTTTTTTGGCCCTCCTCCTCCTCCCATCGCTCTAATTGTTGCTTTCATTCCAAAAGTCATCTGCTTTTTTTTTTTTTTTTTTTTTTTTTTTTTTTTTTGTTCTTCCCTTTTCTACTTGTACTTCCTTTAATTAATAATAATAATAATAATAATAATAATAATAATAATAATAATAATAAAAAAGGATCTTTTATTACACTAAAATCTCAAGATTTCTTAATCTTCTTCTACCAACCAACCCACCATCCTTAACCATGGATATTTCGGTAAGTCATTTCACAACCACAACAACAATCACAACTACAACAAACATTTCCTAACTTCTCATTTTTTTTTTCTTTTTCTTTCTTCTTTCTATCTCTCTAGAAACTTTCACCACAAGAACAACGTCTCTATAAGCTCTACGGTAAATTACCTACCCGTTCAGAGCTCTTGCTCAATAAGAAATTGCGCGGAGGAGATCGCAAGTTTTTTGATTCCGGTGACTATGCACTTTCAAAGGCTGGTAAAGATACAGATGCCGCAGGAGGTAATATTGATGCAGATATTGGTGCAAAACGCCACCCTGATCCAACTGATATCCCTCATCATTCATCATTCTCTGAACCTAGTCCAGGTCCTAGCCCAGCTGCAGCATCTCTAGGTACTTCCAGTAATATTGGCCTCACACCAGTAACTTCTATTCCAAGTAATTCTGGGGGGTCTGAAGATATTAATACAAGCAACAATAACAACAATAACAACAATACAAGCAACAACACTTTTGATGAAATAAAGGGCATCCAATCTTCTAATAATACCCCATTGGCTTCTCATCATGACTCATTTTCTTCAGCTTCATCATCATTGACATCTTCATCATCATCTTCTTCTTCTTCTTCTTCATCCTTTTTAAATAATTTACCCACTGGAGAAGCTTCCCGTAGAGGATCAATTGTAAACCCAATTCCAACAGTTCTACCACCACGATCACCTCATGCAGCCCCAGCAAGTTTACAACCAGGAAGTGCAGCTTTGTCTCTGATAAATAGTCATTCTCCAGTTACAGCACAAGTCTTTGAACCCAGCACACTTCTCCATGAGCGGAAAGAGTAATTGAGTGGAAAGAGGGTTCATCACAATCAATACTTTGTTTGTTTGTTTGTTTGTTTGCTTGCCTACTTGCTTCTTCTTCTTTTTTTTTTTTTTCTTTTTCCTCTTTTTCAAGTTTAATGTAATGAGTTTTTAATGAATTAAATCTATATATATATAAAAAAAAAAATAATAATAATAAAAATATAACATTATCATTCTATATCACCTCTTGATTTTTGGCCGTTGCTTAACTTCATCTTCTGTCACTGGATGGAACCTCACTGTGTTTACATTTGTAGGTGCCGCAAATTGGTACCCTTTACTCCAGTCGTAACTAATAGCATATGCAAACACATTACCCGAAGCATTAAAGGCTGTCGCTGTTATGGGCCCGCCCACGTCGTTAAACCCCTTGAGCCGATGCTTGTTATCCTTGTCCCAAAAATGAAACGTCCCATCTGCTCCTGCTGTACACATGGTCCCATACACTGGATGGAAACATACACTATTGACGGAATACACTAAAGTTTCTGCTCGTGAATTGGCAGATACTATTGTGGTATTAAGTGCAGACCCACTTGTATTACCTGCCGGCCGTCGATGACACTTGAAACTAAATGTGTTTTGTTTGTTGACTTCCGGATCCACGTATTGGATACTGCATCGACCTTCAATTGATGTTAGTGCAAACCCATCGCCTTGTGGGAAACATGCCACCACACGCGTCTGCATTTTAAGTGGCGACACGCTTGTTCGGAAAATGGTTTGTGGATTGTTCAAATTGATGATAACTACATGACGCTCTGCTGTTGCAACCACTAAAAGGCTCTTGGATACGTCCATGGAATATGCACGTTCTGGGAGTGCTACAGTAGCAACAGCTTGTGGGCTTCGCAGATCCCAATACTTGATGGTACGGTCCCATGAAGCTGATGCCAGCATAATATTTCCTGATCCTGGGGGTCCCATTTCAGCCCATCTTACTGCACGAACTGGCGCGTCATGGGCGCCAATTTGAGTTGCAGTTGTTGATGATGAATTGGATGCCACATCGTATACTCTAACTGCATTATCGCATCCTCCACTGGCAACTTTGGAACCATCGGGAGACCAGCGTGCAGAAAGTACCGGGGCTTGATGGTTGTACATGGCACGGCCTTGGGACTGGCCGTTGACCACTTCGTACAGCCGCACGCTTGAATCCCAAGACGCCACCGCAAGTACATCTGCGGTGGAAGAAAAGTCAATGTCGGAGATACCATCAGTGGGGGGGTCATTCAGGGTAGTGTCATTGGCAAGTTCTGAGTTGGTAGTAGGCGAGGGGTTATTTGAGGTATTGAGAGGGTTGGTATTATTTAAGGATCCTAGTGATAGTCCTCCTCCAGAGGACCCAAAGAAGCTCATTGTGTGTGGTTGGTCAAGTTTGGTGGTGGTGAAAAGTTTTTATTTTTTTTTTTTTTTTTTTTTTTTTTTCTTTTATCAATTTAGTCTAATATATAGACAAAAAAAGAAAAAAAAAAAAGTTATTAATTACCAAATTACCAACATCAATATATATATTACAATTACAATTACAAAAAAACATGCTATTCTACCACACACACACACACTCTCTCTCTCCCCCTCATTCACCCATTTCTTACCATTTCTTACCATTTCTTACCGTTTAATCCTTGGCTTGGGCTTGACTTGATCTTCTAGAACTGCATGAAACTTAATCATGTTAGGGTACTGACCAGCTTGGGTATAACCTTTACTCCAATCGTAGCTAATAGCATATGCAAAAACTGATCCGGATGCGTTAAAAGCCGTCGCGACGATGGGCCCGCCATTGTCTGGCGACGACATACGGCGGTACCGGTTTTCCATATCCCAAAAATTGAAGCACCCGTCAGCGCCAGCGGTGGCAAGAGTGCCATAACCAGGATGGATTGAGACCGAATTGACAGAATAGACTAAACTCTCTGAGCGTGGACTAGTGACAGCTTTACGGTGACATTTAAAAGTGAAGCCCTTTTGGGCATGAACACGAGGGTCCATGTATTGGATACTACAGCGACCTTCAATGGAACCTAGGGCATAACCATCACCTTGTGGGAAACATGCAACACAACGGGTCTGCCATTTAAGAACAGATTCTGATCTTTTAAAGATAGTTTGTGGGTTGTTAAGGTCGATAGTAACAACATGGCGTTCAGCAGTGGCAACCACTAGGAGGGTTTTTGCCGAGTCCATTGAGTAAGCACGATCTGGGAGGGTGACAGTAGCGATTGGTTGGGAAGATCGTAAGTCCCAGTATTTAAGAGTTTTATCCCAACTTGCAGATGCTAGGATTGAAGAGCCGTTATTTGCACCAGGGACTGTAACAAAACGGACAGCTTTTACTGGGGCATCATGGGAACCCACTTGAGTGGCTTGGCCTGCGGCTAGGTCATATACTCTGACTGTATTATCACATCCTCCACTTGCTACTTTAGAGCCATCAGGGGCCCAATGGGTAGATAGAACGGGAGCTTGATGGTCATAGATTGCACGGCCTTGGCCTACTCCATTGACTACTTCATAAAGTCGGACTTTATTATCCCATGATGCGACTGAAAGGATATCAGCAGTTGGAGAAAAGGCCAAATCTGAGACGCTATCTTCAGGACCATTTGAGAGAGTGGTATCACCGGAGGTTTCACTTTGAGGGGAGACGACAGGAGACTGTTGTTGTTGGGTATTTGAAGTAGACGATGAAGAGGCGCCCATTCCCAGGGAGGTACTTCTTGGTCCAAAGAAGGACATCTTTGTTAGTTAGTTTGTTGTTTGTTTGATTAAAATTAGTTGGTAAGGCTTAAAGGGGAAAAAAAAAAAAAAAAAAAAAGTTTTTTTAAATTTTTTAAATTTTTTTTTATAAAAAAAAAAGAAAAAAGTTGAGGATATTTTTGTATGTGTTAATATCATGTGATTTAAGTCATGTGATAATTTAAATAAATTATAATCTCCATGTGACTATCACGTGATGTTATCTAAAAGATCTTTTTTTTTTTTTTTTCAAATATTTTTTTTTATTTTTTTTTTATTTTTTTTTTTATTTTTTTTCATTACTCAAAATGGAAATTTCGATATTCCATTTATACAGCCAATCAAGCACATAAAAAAAATTAAAATAAAATAAAATAAAATAAAAACTTTTTTTTTTTTTTATTTTATTTTTACGTATCACTCACTCACTCACTCTGCCAGCAAACAAAACAAAAAAAAACAAAAAAAAAACAAAAAAAAAAACACAAAAAAATCTCCTCTCCTTTTCACAAAACACTTGACAGACCTAATAAATAATAATAAAAATTTAAAAATTTTAAAAATTTAAAAATTTAAAAAATAAAATATAAAAAAAAAAATTTCCATTTATTCAGAATTTCTTAAATACTCAAATTTTTCTTTAAATTTCCAACACCCAGTCATGTCTTCGGTGCCTCCACCTCTTTCTCAACAGCAGGTCCCGCACCCTGGGTGTTTCTTTGACCCAGCATTCCCCGGTGGTGGCTACCCAACTAACCAACACCCTCCACCGCCGCCGCCGCCGCAGCAGCACCAGCACCAGCACCAGCACCAGCTTCAACATCATCAACAACAGTTTCCTTTACAGTTCCAACAACAATATTTTGCACGCCAGGCACCTTTCGGGACTCGCGGACCTTCCCAGCAATACCAGCAACAACAACAACAACAACAACAGCAGCAGCAGCAGCAGCAGCAGCAACAACAACAACAACAACAACAACTGGGTCCACTGGTACCTCCTCCTATGCCACAAGCTATACCCTTTTTCATGCCGGCACAACAACAACAACCTCATGATGGGTCTCCTGCATTTCTTCCTAAACATCGAGATGATCTTTTCCATAGTCCCCAGCAGTTCCAGCAGCAGCAGCAGCAGCAGCAGCAGCAGCAGCATCATCATCACCAGCAACAGCATCAGCATCAGCATCAACAACAGCATCAAATGTATCTACCACCTTTGCAAATGGGCCAGCATCATAATTTGAGTCAAAGAGTTGTATCTCCTGTACGTCAGAAACAACCATCACCAGCTCCAGTAGCAGTCCAAAAGCAGTCTGTAGTCTCATCATCTACATCATCTACAAACAACTCCTCGTTTAACCCCCCAAAGCCTACTTCCATTGCGTTTTCCTATCAGATTTCTAGTAAGTCTCTTTCTTTCTTTCTTTCTTTCTATCTTTCTATCTTTCTATCTTTCTATCTTTCTATCTTTCTATCTTTCTATCTTTTATAAAAAAAAAAAAAACTTCATCAACTACTTGATAATCTTCTTTATTACCTTTTTTTTTTCTAACTAACAAAAAAAAAATTTTTTTATTTTTTTTTTTCATTTTCATTTTCATTTTTTTAGTTGTTGACCGTGCTTATGACCAACTTGCTCGCTCAGGAGGAGGTGGTGGTGGTATTTTTTATGGCCACCAAAATAGACCTCCAATCGGTTCTACTCAATCAGGACTTTTAAATGCCTCTGTAACTGCAACTGCTTCTTCAACTGTTTCTTCAAATGCAAATGCTATGTACGGACTTTCATCAAGTCAACCTTTGCACCGTCACGCATCAACTTCAAGTCCAAACTTTGGTAAGTTTTTTTTAATTTTTCAACGGCTTTTTTTTTTTTTTTTTTTTAGCTTTTATTATCAGTTATTATTACTATTTTTATTAATTTTTTTAATTTTTTGAAAAAAAAAAAAAAAACTCTAACTTTAATTTTCTTTCTTTCTTTCTTTCTTTTTCAATCTAAATTTAAAAAAAAAATAAATAAATAAACAGACTCGCGTTATTCACAATCTAATAACAACCCTCGTTATTACCGTAACAATAACAACAATAACAATAACAATAACAATAATATTAGAGCAACAAGCATTAACCGTGGATCTTTCCATAGAGACCGACAATCTCCTTCAGGAAATCAAAATAGTAATATTACACCGGGACCTAAGAAACGGGTCATGTCTATGGACTCATTCGGGTCACAACAACAACAACAACATTTTGCTCAACATCCTCATCCCTCTTTCTTTGGTCTTAAACCTGCATTCCCTCAACAACAACAACCATCTCATCAAGATTCTTCTTCATCTTCATCTTCTTCTCCTCATCCGGTCCTTCGTACCAGACTTTCAACTCCACTTTTAAGACCAGATCCACAACAACCTACTCTTTCTGCAAGTTTCCATGCTGGTATGGCTGTCCCCCGTGGTCACAGTCCTCTTGGACCTTCTTCTTCTTCTTCTTCTTCTTGCTCTTCATCACCACCTCCACCAATATTCCGTAGAGCTGCTTCTTACTTCTCTTCAGCAACTCCTCCTTCAACTTTAACTATCGATAACTCTTCAATTACTAAACTCTCCCCCTTTGATGCCCTTCCATCACTTGCCCCTCCTACTCAAAGTAGAGGCCCTAGTACTAGCCCACTCTTTAGTCCAGTCTCTCCATCATCTTCTGCTTTCCCCTTTTCCTTTGCCAAAAGTAACTTTTCTGCATCTGACCTTTCATCTCCAGCCCCTTCTTCCTCTTCTCCTTCCCCCTCCTCATTCCCAGGAATCTCACTACCTCTTTCTTCTTCTTCTTCTTCTTCTTCTTCTTCTTCAACACAATCATATCCTTCTCCCTTTGTTATTCGTCCAGGAACTTCTCCAGTCGGCCCTTCAAAAAGTCCCGGCCCATTTCTTTCAAGAAGTAACTCACTTTCTGCAAAAAAATCTGTTCGTGTTTCTTCTTTACCTGCTTTCCTACATGATCCTTCATCTTCTTCTTCTATCTCTTCTTCTTCCACATCCTCTTCTTCTTCTTCAACATCTTCATCTCCTTCTTCAGTCCCTCCCATGCCTGCATTCCCTAGCAAATATGCAGCATTTGAATCTGGAGCTCCAGGAACTCCATTTGCACGATTTGGTAATAATAACAGTACTGGGAATTTGACTTTAACTACTACTACCCAATCTTCCATGACTGCTACTCCTTCTTCTTCTTCTTCTTCTCCCTCAAAACGGTTATCAACATTTGATGAAGAATCATTTGATTTCGATGAACATAATGCAATTGCATTTATGACAGATTCATCCTTTTCAAGTGATTTAAGTGATGACGATGGACTCGCAGATCTCAAAGATCATACAGAAAATATGACTTCAACTTCAACTAAAATTTTAAAGGATAATGATACTACTAACTTTACATTGGTCTCTCTCACAAGTGCTTCGCTTTCCTCATCAACAGCAATCGGTGGACATACAAATACCTCTTTAAATGCTGCTACCACTTTATTAACTCAACAACAAGGATCATCATCTTCTTCTTCTTCTTCTGCTTCCTCTTCTTCTAATACTTCTACTTCTACTTCTTCCTCTGCTTCTACTTCTACTTCTTCTTCTTCTTCTTCTTCTTCAACAACATCAACAGCAGGGCCTACTCCTCTTTTACGCAAACGTTCATCCTTTTATCCCTCATCTGCTTTACCTTTACCTACTACTACATCAGATACAAATTCTTCATTCCCCTTTTTGCACTCTCACCATCTTTCATATACTCTCCCTCCCTCGCATCTCCAACAACAACAACAACAACAACAGCAGCTCCTGGTGAGCCGCCCACTGACTGCTGCTGACGATCCTTCTTCTTCTTCTTCTTCCTTCTCCTCGCTCTCCGACCGGTTCGGAGTCATTGGCTGTGCTTTTAACACCACCATGGCGGCTTCTGCGACGACATCAAATATGCAAACCTCAGAATCTGGAATGATGACAGCTCGTACTCAGCCTACAACAACAGCAGCAGCAGCAGCAGCAACAACAAATACGTCTACAGGAGATGGCGCATCAACGGCAACTACGTCAAACAATAATCTGCTGGGATGGTCCAAAGTATGGGGAAACAATACTACTTCGACTACGGCCTCTGTTTGGGGGTAACGATTAAAGAGGTTTTCTCTCCCTCCATCCTTTTCCCCCTTTGTTTTCCTTCTCAACAGACGGATTTTTATTTTTAATTTTTTTTGGATATTTATTATTTTTATTGGTTATTATTATTGTTATTATTATCGGACTTTTTTTAATTTTGGGAAAAAAAAAATTGAATTTGAAAAAAAACAAAAAAAAAAAAAAAAAATAAAAAAATGAATTTGAAAAATAAAAAAAATAAAAATTTAATATTAAGCAGCAAAGAAAAAAAAAACATAAATACTAAGAAGAAAAAAAACTAATTTGTATAAAAAAAATTTACTCCAATTTTATATATATATATAAAAAACACTTATAACGTTATATAGTATATTACAATAAATGTATATGGTTAATTAATAATAATAATAATAATAATAAAAAGGAGAACAAAAGAACGAAAGAAAATCATCTCTACGAAACTGTAGAAGTCGTGGGTGAAGTCACAGTGTTGGGAGCAGCAGATGAAGAACCAGCAGACGAGCTACCAGACTTGTTTGCAGCTGCCAGTTGCCAAGCAGGAATACCCTTACGCGCAGGCACAGGAGCAGATGCAGTTGCAGATGAAGTCGCAGGTGCAGTTGCAGGTGCAGGTGTCGAGGTAACTGGAGCTGGGCTATTTTGTGAGTTCACAGTAGTATCCAGCGAAGAAACCAAGGTCGAAGTAGATGTAGATGATGGTGACGAAGAAGAAGAAACACCAGCAGTAGGGTAGAACACGGTAGGAGGTGGGTTTGTATAAGTGGCAGGACCTGAAGAAGAGGAAGAAGAAGGTAATGATGATGATGATGATGATGATGAGGCAGGAACTGGAGACACGCCGGTGCCAGATGAAGGCATGGGTGGTGGTGGAATAGATACAGATGAAGATGCAGCTGGTTTAGTTCTTGCAAAAACCAGTTGTTTAAGTGACCTCAGTTCAGCCACCAAATCGTTCAAAGCTGCCTGTTGTGCATCAGCATGTTTCTCCAAAGCTGTGGGCAGTTGTGCACGGACATTTTCCACTTGTGCCTTGATTAGTTTCATATCTTCATCACGCTGTGCAACTTGAGTCTTAACAGTTCCCATCACTGCTTCCAACTCTTCCAATGCATCATCTACCTTCTGTGTTCGCGCAGCTTCTGATTCCTTGAGCGCAGCTGTGTCTGCACTTAGTTGATCAAGTACTGCCTGCGCCCGCGCAAACTCCGCGTCCAGCGCCGCCTTGTCAGCCTCTAGCGCCGCTGGTGTCGGTGGCAAAATCATTGGTAGTACGTATCGTCGTGCAAGTTCATACAGTCCGTACGTTACTCCGGCTGTTACTGTTGCCATCACAAAGTAGTCACGCCAGTCACGCTTCGGTACCGGCGGTGGTGCATTGTAAGTGGCATACATTGCTGGAGGGATCCCAGCGTAAGGAGTGACTGCAGTTGCTGCTGGTGATCCAGGGATGGTGGTGGCGGTAGTAGCAGCAGAACCTGGAGTTCCTGAAGATGTTGCTGGAGCAGCCCCGCCAGCCCGTGCAAGGGCTTCTTGGATCTCTTCGGGTGTGAGTTCTTTGCTTTCAAGAAACTCGATTTTCTTGGCTAAAGGAGACCCAGCAACCTGTGGGTCTTTTAAGAATGTGATTGCCGAAGCGATGAGGTCCTCGCGCATTTGGGTCATTAATGGTGGTGGTAATGTTGTTGAGTCAATCAATCAGATCAAGATAAAAAAAAAAAAAAAAAAAAAAAAATTTGAGGTGGAGGTGGAAAGAAAAAAAAAAAAAAAAAAAAAAAAAAAAAAAAAGGCGAGAGAAAAAAAAAAAAAGGTAAATGTTTGAAAATACCCCACTGTATCACGTGACAAGTGCTAATGTGGAGAGTCCATGCGGCTTTCTCAGTTAAAATCTTTTAAGGACCTCGGCTGTTTGTTTGTTGTGTATGATGAAAACTAAGTTTTTGTTTTGTTTTGTTCCCTCATACAAGTAATGCAGTCGGTACTCGGGTTCTTTTAAAAAAATAGAAAGCTCGGATTTTTTTTTATTTGTATGAAAATTTATAAGTTTGAAATTATAATAATTATTATTTTGTTATTATAATAACAATAAGAATTTAATTGTCTTAACAGGAATTAAAGATTTGTTTTTTTTTTTAAGTTTTAAACTGGTGGTGGTCAATTGGAAGATACGCTTTTGTATTTTATGAAAAAAAAATAAAATAAAATAAAATAAAATAAAACGTTCAAAAGATCAGATTTGTTAAAGATTCAAACAGTTTTTTTTTTTTTTTGTTTCATTCTTTAAATGTAAAAAAAAACATTTATTTAATTTACAACAGCTTTTTAAAGAAATAGAGAAAAAAAAATTAATAAACTGGACAGAAAACCTTTTAGAAGAAATGATTTTAATAATAAGTATAAACCAGCATACTGGTTTTGTGAGTGTTATGAAGAAGAAGAAGAAGAAGAAGAAGACAAAAAATTAAAATAAATAAAATAAACATAAAATGACAATTTAACGTCCCTAAAAATAATTTATACTTGAACAACAACCAAAATCTTTTTTTTTTTTTTAAATTTTTAAAAAATTATTATCAACCTTCTTTTCAAAATCATTCTTTTTTGCAAAATATATTACTTTTTTTTTATTATTATTATTTACTTTCCCTTAATTCATTATAAATTAAACCAATATTAAAAATTCTCTATTTTGTCTTATATCGTCTTATTTTATCCATCAAACAACTCTCATACTAATCAAGTCTAACAGCACATGTATATACCATTTTCCTCGAGAAAGACTATCTTAAACTTTGTATTAAAAAGAGATCTTCAACAATCCTTTATTTTATTTTATTTTATTTTATTTTATTTTTATTTTATTTTTATTTTATCAAGACTTTTATTTTTTATTTTTATTTTATTTTAAAATATCATATACCTAGTCCTAAATTGTTTCAGAAAAAAAAAAAAAGGAATTTTTAAGACTAGACAAGACAAGACAAGACAAAAAAAAAGCACTGAATAGCATGAATAATTTATCTTTCATTCACTATTTGAATACGTACAGCAAATCAATTGCTAACCTGCACTCTTTTTTATCTGGAATCTTGCATTTTGTGCTATAAAGTCCATCTAAGACATGTTCATGCACTTAATTCATTATAACAATGAAATACGAAACAATTTGCTCTTCCTTTTTTTTTTTTTTTTTCACCTGAATGATATTATATATATATATATATATATTCTTGGGCTTTACCAGAAATGTCATGGTGATACATTTAAAAAGACAAGGGATCTATATATATATATATATATGGAAATTCTTTTATATAAAAAATAAAAATCACCCCTAAAAATTTATATAATCAATGATCTTTAGAGATTTTTTTTTTTTAAAGTCAACTCTTTTTGCTATTTTGGTCCGCAATACTCCCCGCACCCCCCCTAGTAAGCTTCAATTGAACTATCAAATCCATTAAATAAATTTACCTGGTCTTGTTTTAAAAAAAAAAAAAATATCAATTAAATTAAATCGAAAAAAAAAAAAAAAATGGTGCCATTGATCGACTAACATAAACTATTAACCACCATTATATATCGAGTTTTATCTATTACTAGGATGAAAAAAAAAATAATGCCTTTTTTTTTATTTCTCCATAAATATATATTCCTTATATTATTTTCTACAGGAAATTAAAAAAAATAAAAAAAATTCATTAATTTAACTAAAAAAAAAAAAAAAAAGCTGCAGGGACAAAATCAACGTCAAAACTAAAGTTTAGAAGAAGAAAAAAAAAAAAAAATTTAATTTGTCGCTTCAAATTCAAGTTTTTCGGTTATTTTAACCTTCTTCTTATCTCTCATACAACCACCATTTTTTATCCATATTCACCCACTCACCCCCTCCAAAAAAAAAAAAAAAAAAAAAAAAAACTCTACTAAATTACAAATTATCGAATAAATCAAAAATACCACTTTTTATTGTTTGTTTGTTTGTTTTTATTCAAGGGTTATAGAATTATATAACATCAGCATCTGCGCTATCCTTCTTGTCCATACTATATATTTTTTCATTTTAATAATAAACTTTTAATTTTGGCTTCAACATTGCATCTCCAACAGCCCGAAAATAAGTCCTGATGCCAGCTTACGAGGAACAGGGGGTTAAAATAACCAAACCTTCCCAACCTATCTCCACTTGTCTTCATCAACGCTGTAATTGTATTTCTTAATCCCTCCAAGCAGAGATAAAGCTTACAATCTCTTGTAAGCCAGTTAAACTGTTTAAGAGAGTCGACATGTCCATCTCTGGAGATATCCGTTTCAGTCCTTTTCTTTCCTCTTCAAGCAAAGGACACTCAACTAAAATGTGATGAACTGTTTCCAGCTCTCCACATTTGCAGTTGTAACTATCCTTTTCAATTCCAAACTTTTTTAAACCATGCGCCAAAGTTTCCATGGCCTGTGCGAAATTGAGTAATATTACTCAAGATCCTTCGACTATCTTTCTTCATGATCACTCCTGTAACCATTTTGGAAAGATTATCAGTACATTTCGACTCCACTGTGATATTATGATACCACAGATCCTTACTGCTGTTCCAATACATTTCTTGCCATTCTTCCATTGCTTGTTTCTTCAAAATTCCAATCGTCTGATTTTGTTGTTGTTTCAGTGTAAGAGGTTCAACCCTCTTGCATTTTCGTTTTTCATCCTTTTTAATCATATAGTCTCTATCATCTTTCGCCAACATGTAAAGCGTGGTTAGCTTTGCAATTGGAGATTTCTCAATCAATGTTAACAAATGACCATTAATAGGATTAGTTTTGCTAATATTTAGGTGTAAACGAATAGCTTTTCGTGCCACCATAAATTTTAGCCTAATACTATATGGCATTATACCAGCTTCCTTTTTGTAATACCGCAATAGGAGTTGTGCGATAAGCACCAACAATTCTTCTTAAAGCCATGTTCTGCATTACTTCCAACTTGTGGATTTCTCCTTTCAAGATTTTATGATGCCAAATTTCTAAGCCATATTCAACAATTGGTCTCACGCAAGCAATATACAGTGATCTGACTGCAGACCCTCGCATACCTTTTTGCACGCCTCCAAGATGCCAAATAGCGCCAACAGCTTTTCTTGCTTTATTGATTTTATTCAAAATATGAGATTTAAAATCAAGCAGATTGTTCAAAGTAATTCCAAGCAATTTAACTTCCTTCTGGGGTTCACGAAGTTCTCCATTAGGTAAAGTAAGTTGCACTTTTTCATCTTTAGGTTTCACATTTTTTTGTAAAATGAATAAAACCCAATTTATCACCCAAATCAATTTTGGTCATTCTTGATTTAGCCCAATTACAACATTTTTCTAATATGTTGCTTAAGCTTTTGGTATTTTCTTCAATTTTACCTTCAACGGTAATAGTCACATCATCAATGAAGCCAAAAGGAGTTCCACCCCATTCTTTAATGGCATGATACATTGGTGTGGAATATATCAAAAAAAGTAGTGGTGAAATAGGTGAGCCTTGCGGAATTCCAGTACTAATTTTTTGCACTGATCCTTTCTTCGGTCCATGAGCATACTAGCTTCTCTTTCACTTACAAATTGGTACGTCCAGTTTATAAGTGTTTTGGGTAGTTTCATATCCTCCATTGTGTGTGCCAATATATTTCTGTTAACATTATCAAAAGCTCCTTGAATATCAATGAGCATAGCTGAAATTTTTTCTTTACTAGTTTCAATTCTTTGGACAAGTTCCAAAACAGCATCAGTAGCACAATAACCTTGTCTTCCCCCATATTGCTCTGGTGGAAGTAAGTGTGTTGTAAGCTTGGTCATTCTTTTTTGTATAATTTTTTCCAGTACTTTAGATGGAATCTTAAGTAAGGAAATTGGTCGGTATGCTCTTGGCTTTGAATAGTCAGGTTTCTTAGGTTTAGGTATAACAACAATAATGCCATGTCTCCAGACTTTTGGGTGGTATCCAAACTTTACACAAGCTTGGAGAAGCTTGAAAAACCTTTCCTTAAAGTCTTTATTTAGCCATGCCATCTTTAAAACTTTGCCAGTAATTCCATCGTCTCCTGGAGCTTTATCATTTGGGGTATCAGCCAATGCAGAGTCAACTTCATCAAACTCTAATTTTGGCCATCGAGAATCGTCATCAATTTCAAACTCTCTATCAAGACCATGATCAATTTCAGGTAGAAGTGCCTTCCATATTTCATGTCTTTTTTCGTCAACAGTAGTAGTGAGAGTTCCATCTTCTTTTCTAATTTGTGAATACCACTTTTTAAACAAAATTACTATCATTTTTTAAAAAAAAATAACATATTTAAAGTAAGTTGTATACGAATTTATAAGTAAATAAGTTAATTTGATGTCACGGGACCCGTGGTGTAATGGTTATCACGTTTCGTTTACATTTTATGAACCGAAAAGGCTCCGAGTTCAATCCTCGGCGGGTTCAACTTGGAAAAGTTGCAATTATTGATTTTTTTTATTTCACTCGTGCTTTAATCTTTTATATTTTTTTTAGTATATTTGTATATTTATATATCATATCAATTTCTAATGAATAAAAACAAACAAACAATATCAATTTCTAACAGATTAAATAGATTGAATTACTATATCTTTTTTTTTTTCGCATGTTTTCTGATTAAATTTTAAAGAGTTTTTTTAAACATATTATTAATTACAAAAAAATGAATAGTTCATGGTAAATCATTCAAACAGTTTTAGCGTAAGACTTGCTATTTATTTATTCGTACCTTATTGTTATTGTAAAAGTAAAAGTACACATCATAAAATATAGATAAATATCAATCTATCGACTATTAAACTTTTAAAATAAAAAAGATCAATAAATATTAAAGTCTTTTGAGATCTCAAAATCACGTGACATTTTTTTAAATTAAAGTTAATCAAGATTACAAACACTACAATTTTTATAAAATCACATGATTATTCCTTGTGGCCCAATGGCAAGGCGTTCGCCTACGATCATATAAGGTTACACAGCGAAAGATTCCAGGTTCGACCCCTGGCAGGGAAGTCAATTTTTTATTTATTTTTTTTTATATCCAGATACAATTTATTTTTTATAAGTGTATTTAATTCAATACAACTTTTTAATTATGCTATAGAAAAGTTGTCTCGTTTGTTTGTTTGTTTTTATTCAAGGGTTATATAATTATCTTATTCTCTTTATTATCAAATCATTCTTATTTTTATCAAGCATGATAAACTGTATAAAAGTTGCTGAACATCATCATACTACCTTAAATTTTAAAAAGAATAACAAAAAAACAAGTTTAATCAATTATTAAAATTAGTTTTACATATTTAATATCATTTTATATCTAAAATTAACTATTTAAGCATAATGAAAAAGCAAAACCGACAAGTCAAATTGAAAAAAGAATTCTTATAAAAAAAGCCGCACAAGGTTGTATAGTGTAGTGGTGAGCACATCGGATTTTGATTCCGGTAACCCCGGTTCGATCCCGGGTACGACCTGTACTTACTTTTTTGCTTTGCTTCGAATTTTTTTTTTTACAATAAATGTAAAGGTCTACTAATTAAACAGTACATTGTTTCTAGATATACTGTTTATTATTCCATTCAAATCTACCAAGAAATCACAGTATCTAAGTTATTATTGATTCCTATAATTTTTAAACTAAAAGATAACTGTTGAAAAGGGGGGTTTTTTTTTTTGTTATCTTCTTTAACACTAAACATTATGACTACATGTCATAATTCTTTTTTTCCAACTATTCTCAAATCACCTCAGTATACAGTTGTAACTTTTCTTCAATAAGACCATTGCCTTAAAAAGAAAAAAAAAACTAGTTAATGGTGTTATATATACTTATATATATATATATATATATTAATTGTTCCTTTTTTATGATTATTTGTCTAAAAAACTTAAGAAAGTTTACCAGTGGCTTAACTTCACTATGGTATAATGAAATGTTTTCCTTATTATTTTAACTTATTTCTTGCCATTATCCCAATCTTTTTTTTTTTAAATCACATAATTAGTTTAATAAATGACTATGTCACTTGTACCCTCTCTTTTCTTGGTTTTTATTATTATCAAAACTCTTGCTTTTTTTTTTCTCTTTTGCAAACACTTAAAGTACAAAATATCCTCACAATTGATGATTATTCTTTTAAAAAATAACTTAATTTACATAAAATGTTAGCTTATTTATAATATTAATATTAAATGGTTTAGCTTTTTTTAAAAAATTCTAAATTATTCAATTACATTTCAACGGCGAACAAATTTCAAACATTATTTATTTTGTTTGGCTAAGGTTTTATATGTCGAACTGAATTGGTTGACACAGCCGTACAAGGTTGTATAGTGTAGTGGTGAGCACATCGGATTTTGATTCCGGTAACCCCGGTTCGATCCCGGGTACGACCTAACCTTAATTATTTTTTTTTGTTTTTCTTGCCTTGTTAATGCTTGTCGTATTTTTTTTTTATTCTTTCCTTTCACCATCTCCTTTACCTCATCCTTATTATTTTTTTTTTAATTTTCATTTCTCAATTTAAAAAATATACTTATTCGCTAAAAAAAATTTAAAAACTATTTTTTTATATAAAGAAAATTAATACTACAATTGTCCCTAATTAAATTTAAAATTTCATAAAACCCTTTATTGTACTGTTTTTTTTTTTTTTTTTTCTTCTTTTTTAAAAAAAAATTCCCTCTTTATTGCAAGGGAACAGGCTCAATGTTCCAGATAGTCTCAGCGTACTCATCAATAGCACGGTCAGACGAGAAGAAGCCCATATTGGCCACAGCTTCAATGCTCTTGACAACCCACTTCTTCTTGTCAATGAAAGCCTCGTCAACCTTGTCTTGGGCATCGAGGTACGAGCTAAAGTCGTCAGACACAAGGTAGTGGTCGCTTCCGTAGCCAGCAATGGAGTTGATCAAGTCATTGTAAATGGTAGCATCGCCGAAAAGACCGTCCTCAATGGCCTTAAAGACCTTGGCAAGCTGCGGGTCGAGGGCGGAAGAGCCAGTGCGGTGAGCGGTACGAAGATCCTCCACCTTCTCGGCCAAGTGACCAAACAAAAAGATGTTATCTTCAGAAATCTCGCGAGTGATTTCGATATTGGCACCGTCAACAGTACCAATAATCAAACCACCGTTCAGAACAAACTTCATGTTGGAAGTACCAGAAGCTTCTGTGCCGGCAGTCGAAATGTGCTCGGAAATGTCAGAGGCAGGGATAATAATCTCAGCCTTGGAAACATTGTAATCCTCGATAAAGATAACCTTAAGCTTATCCTTGATGCTCTCATCATTGTTGACAACATTACCAACAGAGTTAATGAGCTTGATAATATTCTTGGCCATGTAGTAACCAGGAGCAGACTTGCCGCCAAAGATGCTAACACGAGGAGGAATCTTTTCCAACTCCTCAGGGGTCATCAACTTAAGTCTAAGATATCTGTGAATGACCTGAAAGATGTTCATCTGCTGACGCTTGTACTCGTGGATACGCTTGACTTGGATATCAAACAGAGCATCAAGGTTAAGAATGACACCAGTTTGGGACTTGACCAAAGCAGCAAGTTTAGCCTTGTTAGCGCGTTTAGTGGCAGTCCACTTTTCTTGGAAGACTGGATCGTCCTTGTACTTGAGGAGTTCCTTGAGCTGGCCCAAGTTGTTGAGGTACTTGTAACCACCAAGCTTCTCAGCAATGAGAGCAGAGAGCTCAGGGTTGGCCTGGTGCAGCCAGCGGCGGGGGGTAACACCATTGGTGACATTGGTAAACTTGTCAGGGCCGTAAATCTTGACAAAGTCCTTGAAGATGGTGGTGCGGATAAGCTCAGAGTGAAGCTCAGCAACACCGTTAACCTTGTGGGAACCAACAATGGCCAAGTAGGCCATGCGGACTTGGCGGTTACCGCCCTCCTCAACAAGGGAAACGTCACGGACAAGGTCACTATCGCCAGGGAACTTGCGGCCAACCTCCTGGAGGAACTTGAGATTAATATCGTAAATAATTTCCAAGTGACGGGGGAGGAGGTTGCCAATCAAATTGACAGGCCACTTTTCAAGAGCTTCGGGCAAAACAGTGTGGTTAGTGTAGCCAAAAGTCTTCTTGACAATGTCCCAAGCCTCATCCCAAGGAAGACCTTCACGGTCAACGAGGATGCGCTGGAGCTCAGGAATGGCGAGAGTAGGGTGAGTGTCATTGAGCTGAATGGCAATTTGGTCGGAAAACTCATTCCAAGGACGGTGGGTCTTCTTAAAGCGTCTGACAATGTCGGAGAGCGAAGCGGCAACCCAAAAGTATTGCTGCTTAAGACGGAGCTCCTTACCCGAGTAGAAGTTATCGTTAGGGTAGAGGACGGCGGAAATGGTTTCAGCCTCTTGTTGATCACGAAGGGCTTGGTTATAGGCACCCTCGTTGAACTTTGCAAAGTCAAAAGCACGGTTGGGCTTGGAGGACCAGAGACGAAGGTTATTGACATTTTCAGTGCCATAGCCAGGAACAGGGAAATCGTAAGCGACAGCCTGAACAATCTGGCCACCCTCCCAAACCTTCTTTTGGGTGCCATCATCATCAGTTGTCTTACGGACATAACCATAAAACATGACGTCAATGGCAATTTCAGAACGAGGGATTTCCCAAGGATTGTTAAAAGTGAGCCAGTAGTCGGGCTGTTCGACCTGGTAGCCATCGACAATCTTTTGCTTGAAAATACCGTATTGATAGCGAAGACCATAACCCCAACCAGGGTAGTTGAGAGTAGAAAGCGAATCGATAAAGCATGCAGCAAGACGGCCGAGACCACCATTACCAAGAGCAGCATCCTTTTCCTGCTCAATGAGATCTTCGAGACGGAAGCCAAAGTCAGAAACACCGTCACCAGTTACCTTCTTGACTTCGAGGTTGAGCATGGCATTGTCCATGGCTCTGCCCATGAGAAATTCAAGGGAAAGATAGTAAATACGCTTGGGATCAACCAAAGTGTGTTTTTGCTGGGTTTTATTCCACGCGACAATCAGACGGTCACGAATGGCTTGTGAGGCAGCTTGGTAGGCAGCGAGCTCGTCGCAATTGTAGAGAGAACGGGCCAGCGTTGTTTCGACATGACGGACAAACTCTGCTTGGAACTGATCCTTGGTGCTAAATTCACCAACAGCAAACTTTTTCCACGTGTTACGGCAGCCAATGGGGATAGTGGAGTCAATGGCTTTAAGTTCACGGGGGGTAAAGCCTGTGAAGGTGCGCTTATGACGGCGTGGGATAAAGACTTCTTCTTCGTCTTCAGCGGCAGAAGCAGAGACTCCACCGTAGTTTTTGAACAAAGACATAGTTTAAGGCTACTTTGGAAATAATTGAAGGAAATTAAGTGATAAGGCAAAGAAAGATAGAATTGGTGGTAAGCAAGAGATAAAGAAGCTATATAGAATGTTAAAAAAAAAAAAGAGGGAAAGTAGAAAAGGTAAAAAAAGGAAGGAAGGAAGAAAAAAAAATAGTCTTGGAGTCCTTTTTTTATACTGTATCACCAAAATGCCAACGGAGGTTTTGTTCTGGACCCATTTTTCCGTACGGCGGCCGGTTAGTCAGAGATTACGACAGCACTGCTAGCCCCGCCTCGACCTAAAATGGCCTGTCAATTGACCAGCACGACATCAAGTAGATATAAAGAAAGAACAATGGAGGGAGGAGTGGATTTAAATGGAATGGAATTGAAGTCTTTATTCATCAATATATATATATATATATATATATCTATCTATCTCGCTTCTAACCTGCCTACTTTAAATTTTGTTCATAAAGCATTGATTTCTTCAACACTTCGGAGGGGAGACCTTTAAACTCCTGACCTCGGGTTGACAAGTCAGTCTTTTGCTAGCTATATAGAAGCTGCTGTTTTGTCTATACAGAATATATATTTATACAAACCTTCCCCCGCTTGCCGGCCGCCAATTGGCCGCCACTGTAAAACTCAATTCTATCTAATCTTCTTGCCTCCCACATCACCAGAAGAAGCAGCATCAGCTCTACAGGCAGCACTATTAGAATAAGCTTAAAAGAAGTAGCAAAAAAAAAAAAAAAAGGCAACACCACTATCGGAACCTATTTGAAGTATTGGTTAGGAAAAAATATTTATATAAACGAGAGAATGCGGGGTGGTCGTGTACAATAGCCTCGTTTTTTATTTATTTTTTATTTTTTTCCTGGATTAATTGATCCAGGACAGTTATAATTCTTAAAACGACCCGAGCACCGGATGTCTGTGTTCCCAATACTGTGTATCTGTTCTTGTCTTTTCATAGCATCCGGTACCTTCTAAAGCGTACATATTACTCAGACAAAATGGGCTTAAGTTCACTACATCATACGTTAATACCACTACCACCACCACCACTATTGATATCAAACATTTTTTTTTGTTAATAGTTTAAAATCTTACTTTCCTTTTTTTTTTTTCTCTCTCTCTCTCTCTCTCTCTCTCGCTCTTTGAAATCTCAGACAACCTGATTTTATGGTAAATGTCATAGGTCTTCTACTACTGTGGACACCTTCTGGAGGTGGGTCTCACCACGACAATTCCTATTGTTCCCTGTATGGAAGCTTTTCTAGAACGTGTATCCTAACAAAAGAATAATAAAATCAGGAGAGAAAGAAAAAAAGAAGAGGTTTTATATACAAATAAACAAATATAAATAAAACAAATTTGATTTGATTTGATTTTTGTTGGGCAAAAAAAAAATTTGTTGTATAAATCCAACTTTGTATTTAGGTCCAGACATAATAATTTATCTTTGAAGCTCTTCAGATGAAGACATCTAAATCGTTACCATCATGCAATTATCCGATCTCAACCGGACTTTTTTTTAATGGCTACCACTCAATCACTTTTCATTTAAAGCACATGCTTTAATTTCATAAAAGTAATTACTTTTTTTTTTTTTTTTTGGCGCCTTTGCAGATTTTCACAAAGAGACTTTTTGAATTGCTCTTTTTTGGTGTGTGCGCAGATTTGCATATTTGCAGATTGGCAGATTTGCACATACAGTATCATCCACTTTTTTGTATCCTGTAGAGTAACTTTTATCCCAAATATGTATATCACAGTCTGCACGGCTGGTTTCCCTCATATTTACCCACCTTTCCTATTTGGGCGAGAACAATTGAATTTTTCAAATAAAGCGATCCGCCATTTTTATTTTCCATGATCCTCCAAATACTTTGAACATGCTTTACCTGTTTTGGCCAGAATAATTGAAAATCCTTAAAGTTTTATTTAAAAAGATGCAATAATTCTGATAAATACCCCAGTCTTTGACTACGTAAACCTCCTTAGCGAGGGAGCTCTCTGAGTGAAATGTCAATACTTGTTCCCTATAGCTTGTCTTCTCGGTCTTATATATATACAAAACCATCTTTGACCTATTTCTGCTTTTTTTTTTTTACCTTTCATTTAATTACTTTTTTTTTAAGTATTATTATTTCTACACTAGTTTACCTTTTTTTTCATACAGTTCTCTAATACTTGACATACCATCTTTTTGGTCTAGTGCCCATATTTTTTCACCCCCCTTCTTCTTTAATATACATCATCAACCATGGACTCTGGATATATTGACTCAGAAACTATCATACAAAACATGCTTGCTGAAGGTTACACTCTTCTCAATCAAACAATTGAGATCATGACAATCTACGGCCCCGCAGAAATCTCCCTAACAGAAATAGACGAGTTCTACAAAATCAAAATTCTCATGGGTATCTTTTTTGGCCTACGAGTCGGTGCCTCTGCTGTTGTTGCTATTATTCTCTTCCTCATTACTGAAAACAAACGCACTCCCGTCTTTATCTTTAACCAAATCTCTCTCATCATTCTTTTTATCCAATCTTCTTTATACCTACAGTACTTAAACTCTTCATACAGTTTTATCTCAACAAACTTTACAGGTTCCTACGAAGCAGTCACTTCAAACGATACAAACATATCCATTGCTTCCTCAGTCTTTCAGTTTTTACTCATTTGTGCAGTCACAGTATCGCTTTTCTTCCAAGTGAGAGTAGTGTTCCCTCCCTTTTCAATGGCCCGTGTCGTTGCCTCCATCATCACTGGAGTCGCATCTGTTCTCTGCTGTATCATCAACCTTCTCTTCATCATTTCTCGTTGTGCTTCAGCTAAAAATCCAAACTCAAGTATTTACGGTGATGGTCACTTTGCAAATATCCTTCCAACTTTTTCACAATACACATTTGCCGCAACAATTATGCTTTGTAGTGTCACCCTATTAGGGAAACTTGTCTTTGCCATCCGTACTCGTCGCATTCTTGGTCTCCGCCAGTTTGGTCCTCTTGAGATCATTGTCATTATGAGTGTCCAAACTATGATCATCCCTGTCATCCTCTACATCATCAACAATACTCTTGGTTCAGGTGATGCTGGTACATATGTCGCAGGTGTCGGTGCACTTGCCCCCCTTTCTGTTGTCATCTTCCTCCCCATGTCTTCCATGTGGGCTTCTGCTGCAAATACTAACGCCATCTCTCGCCAGGAAATGATTTTCAATAATCACCGCAACTCTCAGATTTGCTCCTGTGGGCGACCCAAAAATGGTGACGATGATGATGACACTTTTGACTACCGTTCACACACAACCTCATACCACAACAGAAAAATGGACAAATATTACTCCGAAACCGAGAAAAATACACCAAACACCACTTGGGGTCGTCTCCAAAAGTTTTTCATTAAAGTTGAACGTGGACTACACCATGCTCTCACCTATAAAAGTCGTAAAGCTGTTGTGCAGGCACGGGAACAGCGTCAAAATGATCTTGAGCTTATGAACAACCGTGGGTCCAACTATGAAGCTACTACTAAGCTGAGTATTTCAAATATCAATCCCCACAATAATGTGCAGTTTCAACAACAAGCCAACCCATTTTCTGGTATTCATGCTGGTAACATTTCTGCACTGGGAATGGATGACATGTCAAAGAGGTCTGTATCACTTAGCTCTCCAAACCCTGCTCAGGGGACCGTATACTACGAAAGCGGCATTTATGACGGCAGCGCAGGCGTTCCTGTCATGAAAGAAGATCACTTAACTTCAGTGCAACGTGTGTCGAGTCACTCAGAGAGCAGTACTCCTGAAGACGATGCGCACGGAGGAATCATTATAAGCAAGTCGGATATCAATTCTCCAACAGACACTGTTACATCAAACGCAACAACTCAAAAAATCATGGGAGGACAAGCAGGTGCTTCAAGAAATAGCACGCAGGTGTTTCAGTTTAACTATGACGAAAACAGAAACATTGCATATGATGATGACTTGTTGAGTTTGAATGGAGACGAAAATGACGAAGAATACTATCACAGAATGAAGTCAAAGTATAACTCAACCTACCTAAAATGAGGGGCTTGATAGGATGATTGGTAGTAAATAGCAGTATAGTTTTTATTTTTTTAAAAATTCGAAATAGCAATGCACTTTTTTTTTAGTAACTAGTTTGGGACTATTGTTCAAAAATCGTTTCGAGGATTTTTTCAGTTTAACACACAAAATGTAAGAAATCTACTTTCATGATATCCAGCACCAAAATCTTAAAATACTGAGATAAGGGCATCTAATGTTTCTCAAATGAACTCTTAACTTTGTCAAGTTTCTTAAAGCGAAACAATACTGGTATCATGAGCCTGAAGCCTCCTGTGTTTTAACCCCACAATCATTAAACCGTCTTCTTTGCTCGCATATTATGGGGAATATCGCTAAAGCTACTACATTTAAATATCATAAAACCGATTGTAATAAGCCGATAAATTTTGTATTTCCTTTTTGATATTTTTAGTACTCTGAATATGGAGTCTTTCATAACACTTTCCCGCTAATTGGGAGCCAAATTGTAATAAACTAATTAAAAAAAGACTAAAAAACCATTTGTTGCCTTTTTTTCTAAATGCCGAAATGTGTTTCATCATTCTGAGGTTAATTTCCACAGTATTAATATGGGGTATCATTGATAGCTAAGTAACTTACGAGCTCTTGGTACGGTATCTATCCTCAATCTACTTACCCTGTGGCTCAAACAAAAATTCCACTATACAAATGTATCAATTTTTTTCTCTTTTTTTTAACATTTTCTCACAAATTTTTCATTTAAGAAATTGAGAAAAGAGAAAGGTTTTAATGCGGATGGATGCATCTGAAAAGTCAAAAGCAGTGATGTTAATTTTAATATTAGGGCAAAAAAAAAATGGAAATCGGGTTAGGGTTTGTGGGTTTTTATTTAGATGTAGCTCAAAGCTCCACCAACTAATCATTAACTAAAACAATTACCATCAACAATAACCATAGCTTTTCAATCTACAGACTGTTTTTATGTGACTTATATTGCCTATATGAGCCTACGTATTATTGTCCTCAGCTTACTATATTTGTGATACTTTGTTTTTATTTTACAAAAGAAATTTCATTGGCTTTTTTATCCCACATTTTCAATGACAGTTAAAACTGGTGAAATGTCCCACACTGACCTTGGGAAACTGGCAAGGGCCGTGATCCATACCGTCGATGAAGATAGGCTAAACAATCTAATTAAAGACAAAGATTTATTTGACTTAAAAACATGGGCATCTGATATCCAGTTCACACTCAAGTGGATTAATGCCGGACGCGTCGAGCATGGGTATGTTGCCAAGGCCCGTCGACTCTCTCGCAACCAAACAACAGCCCGTCATAAGGAAAAAACATTCACATACCAGCTGGAAAATACAATCACTCCAGAACCCCCAAGTACCCCTGACTGGAGAGCTGTCTGTCATAACCGTGTCATGGACATTGAAGGCACCTACTCAGTGCTCAATAGCTCAGACCAACAACAGCGTGGTGCGCGCTCACTCAGATATTACACGGCAAAGGCGCTGGCGCCGTACCCGGAAAATATTAAGCCTGCTATGCTGAGTTCATGTGCATGGAAAGAAGGCTGGATGCATGTTTGGACAGGGTGTCAAAAACGTGGCGAGGATTCGTACAATGTTTTTAAAATGTTTGCCGACGAGTTTGCACATGAGCCGGATTTTTCTTGCCACGAAGATCAAATCTATGGCGGCTTGTTTTTGAGCAAGTTTGAAATTACTCAATTTAATGATCTATCTGTTTACGCATCCAAGGCCCGCTTGGAAACATATGGTGGGGTCCGCAGATTTTATCTTCAAAATCGACTAATAAAAACCTGTAAACGACACCGCTTTGAATTCCTACCTCATGATACCAACATTTTTTCCCTTTCCAAATCACTTTCTTCACAAAAATTTGATTTCATTACTTTGCTCGACCTTTCCGGTAAACACTTTAACAGATCATGTTACCTTCAGATTATTACACTTCCACATCTTATCGGCCTCGATGTGACAGCGTGTCAGATTGATCGTAATATATTGTTTTGCTGGATGCTTGCTATTCGCAACGGTCTTTGGAAAAGTTTACGCCTACTTTGTATTGGTCAAAATGACATTTCCGGCGTCATTAGTCTACTAGTTATGTGTCCCACTTTAACTTACATTGAGTCTGACCAAAATATTGACGTCATTACAGAAACAAGGGGCCAGTGGGAGCGCCGACATAAGCTCTATGACACAGTGGCCCGTGCATATGGCCGCGGAAACGTCAACAAACCAAATGCCCCTCGGTTTTCACGCAGTTTGTTTCCACGACACTTTGGCATTGGCCAAAAGTATGCAATGTTGAAGCAGCTATATGCCGACTTTAAAAAATACCCACCGTTGAGCTCTGGTAACAATGTGCCACTAATTGTGAACCCTGAGTTTTCGGTCAAGCAGGTTCAGAATGAAAAACATATTATCCAGGAGTTTGAAATTGGTAAACCACCGCAAAAACAAACACTAGTGCAGAAAAACTTTGATCCTATTATGGATCTGTGGGTGGATGAAAGCTCCGGTGCTAATTATCAAATGAATTCTTCTTATATACAAGAGTTCTTCCGACGGAGACACTCTTCAAGGGTTTTGGACTTAGAAAGAAGACCCAGTCCTTAATATCCAGCTTCAATTAGTCTTTACATAACATTAATAATTTTGTCTTTGGTGTCAATGAAAAAAACTGATTATAAAATATAGTTTTTTTTTTTTTTTACTTTCAAACAAATGAACAAACTTCATTTCTTATAAAAACAGTGCTAGCCAAGGCTTGAAAAAGCGTTATTTTGGCAACGAAAAAAAAATTATTTAAATAGCTATTTTGATCATTGAGTCTCATAGCTATGACAATGTTGATCAAGTCTAAAATTTCTTCGTTTTTAGATTTTAACAAACGTAATTTTTTAACAGGAATAATAATTCTGAATAATAAATAATGTGATTTTTTTTCTTCATTTCACCCACATGCTCTGTCAAAGTTACTCATAATCTGCGACTATCAATTCCAGCAACCCACCGGATCGACTCGATGTTTCCACAAACCTCATCCAGGTGACTTCTTCTCTATCAATTGCCTGTACTGGTCCCAAAGCTATTCCTTTAGAAAATCTATCTTAAACAACAAAGATCTGGTCAAAGCTGTTTGACTGTAATAGATCAGTAAGGTGATATGCTTTAATTATTATTGATGGCTTTGAAAGAATTTACATCCTTCCTTTATTTTATGGTTTCCGCAGTTGTAACACAAGAAATTCTTTCTTTTCTAATACTACCTAGACTATCTAGATTACTTCCTAATACGTATAGATAATGGTATTCGTTCAATCATCTGCTTTCTCGTTCCATCTGTTTCTTCCAACTACAGTCTATTCCTCTTTCGAGACCTAGTTGTACTATGGGAAACTTCCGACTAACGTACCCTCTTAATTTTCTCCCTGAACGAGCCAAACCGTTTTGCTTCATCCACGAGATAGTGGTCGATTATATTTTCTACAATCTTCTGCATTTCCCTTTTCTTTTTACTGTCTAGCCCACATCCCAAACGTCGTACCTTGAACTTCACTAATTTTGTTTCGGGGTCAAAAAGTTCATAGTCCTGATACAATATCTTCTCTCTCTGCTTACTGTCCATAGTATAAAGACACCAAAATAAATTTTATGAAAAATCATATCCTTCTATTCTCCTAAGTCCCATCCAATTAACCTCGAGCTTTTTAAATGGGTAAACATCTGCTTCCACATTCTTGTAAGCAACAGCAGCAACTTTTTTTTAGTCCCTTACTGTTTAGTTCAAGTCATACAGTACTTCACAGCAGGCCCGAATTAACATGTGCGGCGTTTTTGCGGAACTGTTAATAACATCCCATTCATCTTGAGAAACACCCGCCATTCTTCTCAGGAAAAGTCGGGATTGATATCCGCTAACTTCATCATTACAATATCCATACATGATCTCGTCAATCTCCATCAACCATTCGGAAAAGTATGTCCTGCAGGAGGCTTTCAATTTCAAGTCCACCTTGTCCAGGATTGCTTTTTGAAATCGTTCACCCCTCTCCTTGGAAAACTTATATTTCAAAAAAGGATCATAGGCCTCGAAGAATGCCAAAAAAGTACGACCCCGAAAGCTTTCATTTGTATTCAATTTCCTCAAAAGTCATCAGTTGGTATTCTAGAGTATCGGCTTCCCAGTTCCTTTCTCCATCCCCGTAAGATTCAGAAGAAACAACATTCATTGGTCGAATATTTTTTTTCTTTGTTTACTGTGGAAGTCATTTCTACCATGTCCACAGTAGTAATATTTTTGTTTTCATTCATAAAGGGATATCAATGAGTACTTGTTAAATTTCGTGTTATATAGTAGTGTTTTAGTTATGAATAAAAGTCATAGAATTAAGATAATAGTCTATATATATAGTTATTTTTCTGGTTTCATCAGCTCTATTCTTTTCCCATCTACCTTTAGATCGTAAGAAGAACTTAGTATCCCCTTCAGCAATATCTTATTCTGTTGTGCTTATGGTAGGGATGATTCTTCTTAGTTTCGGTAGTGATTCCACCAAGCAAGTCACGGGGACCGATGGCACTTTACGATAACGAAGGTTTCTATAATAACGTGAATTTTTTTAAAAAAAATAAATAAAATTCTCCACAATAATCGCGAATCGCATATAATGAACCCTAAAGGTAATAATATTTCAAACACCCAACCCTCTAATAATTCTGTCAAAGAATCTTCTCATATTCAATATGAAGTTATCGTTCAACCTCCCCAGAAGAGATTTTCCAAGTCTAAATCAGAGTTGCATGCTTATAACACTAAAAAAAAAGAGGGAACAAAGGTCTTATGAGAGAGTGCGTAAAACCTACATGTCTAAACCTACTGTTATTCATCATTTCGTGAGTCCTCAAGCTCTAGCATCACTTCAGAATAGTCCTCTTTCATCAAGTCCTTTACGATCATATAACGAGTCATTGCAATTTTTTTCCTCCCCTTCTACTGTGTCCCATAATTTCAATGCTACTGATCCATTGATTGATTCAAGAAATCATCCTCCACTACAGGTTCCATCACATCTTCTTTCTCAAAAACCTTTTCAATACCATATGCCCCTAAATCAACTACCAAATCCCTTTAGCAATATGCGACCTCCATTACAAATACCAGTACCCGGTGTTATACAGCATTCTATTTCTTTAAGTGCTCAGCAACAAACCATACCTAGTATTCGACAAATACATTTTCCTCCAACTTCAGAACCATATTCAAACTTTAACAAAAACTTTGCATCAATTGTATCCAGTGCTAATGGTAATGATAATGATCCAAAAAAAGCTAACAATTTAACAGATTTAGTTGAAGTTTTGGGAGAAAAAAAACCTAGATAGTTCAGACAATTCACATCGTTAGGGTCCGTAGAAATCACATGTAAGATAAGGCAATTCTTATCTTTCTAGATTTCTATTTCAGATCACTAAAAAAATTGATAAGATAATTATCTTATCAATTTTTTTAGTGATCTGAAATAGATTATAATTTAATGTGCTCTTATCTTATCATGTTTTACGTTTTTACAAATGGTTGGTAAAAATGGGGTTAAGGTTTAGAAATTTCTTAATTTTTATTTCTTAAAGTAATATATCTAGGTTCTAGTTTTGTTGACCAAGCCACTCGCATCATTTCAGTTTAATGAGCAGAGAGTGCCTGAGTGAGTAATTGTGTTTTTATCGCATAATAAATGCGTGAAGTGCAGTTTGCAGTCTTCTCAGCAGACTTCGTTTCACTTGAGGGAGACTCTACTGATGTTGGAAAGTCTCTAATACCTCTAAGGAAAGTTCTTTTTTTTCATCCGCGAGATCATTGCCGGAAACCAAGTGTATGAATGACAATCAAGTAAATGATAAATATCATTGATTAATGGGATTCACCAGAAACAGCAGCCTTGATGGGGAGAGCAAAGGGTGCAACGGTGCCAAAGGCAATGTAGGCCAGGACCAGAGAGCTGGAGCGCTTAGGAGCAGCCATCTTAGAGGCACGGATAGCCTGGGTGAAAGAGTTGAGAGTAGCACGAGTAAAGAACATTGTGATTAAAAAAGTTGTGAAGTGAATTGAGTATTTAAAAAATATTAGATTAGTTTTTTCTTTTTCTTTTTCTTATGGTTGTGGTTTGAAATGTTTAGATTAAATGAAGTGAGAATAGATAAATTTTTTTTCTAGTATATCGAGCGGATGTGTGGTGATATTTAAATGTTTTTGATGACACCATATAGATGGCAATGACTATGAGTGCGGCTGGATGGGCTGATTGTTGCTGACATTTACTCACACTTCAGACTGGCATTTACATATATGTTGCTTACAATTAAGTATATTTTAATTGGCTGATTATCTACCTCTTCACATAAAAATTTAATTAAAGGTCAACAACCATTTTAGTAAGATCTCACGCAAATTATTAATTAAATGTACTCGGACATGCGTGGAACTCAAATTATGGCGGAATATTCCGATGTTTTATTGTTTATGTTGGTAGATTTAGTGTGCAAGGATAAATGTATATTATAGTTATAGGAATAGATGGAGTTTATAGCGGAGACGGACTAAGGATAGAATAGGATTATGGAGGAGACAGTAGAGACTGACGAAGAGTATGATGAAGTCCAGTGTGGCTCGTCAATGTCACTATGTCTAGGTATTAGGTCTTAACTCAAGCTTTCAGTACCAGTATTGGACTATACAACCAATAATTATATTTATTATAATATATAGACCCTTGGTAATACCGAGTTACCAGCGGTATCCTCCTCCCAACCCTGAGGTAACTTGTAAAGTTGGTGGTTTCAAGAAAATAAAAAATAAAATAAAATAAAATAAAATTGGACATAGAGAAACAAAACTTTTTATTATCAGATATAATAGCACAACACACAAAATCAAAAAGAAATCCAAATAAAAATCAAAGCAGCAATTGGCGGCCAGATTGTTTCAAGACATATAGGGCCTTCTCAAGTTTCAGCACTTCATCATCCTTGGTCTTAACGCCGTCTGGAGTCTTTAGATAGAGGTCACGGTCAATCTTTGCCTTGAGATAGGCGGCTTCGACGTCAAGGTGCCAAATGTCCATTCATCCTTGGGCGGCAATTGAGAGTAGGAGTCAAAGGCGTTATTGAGAAAGCACCGGCGATGTAGTATTGTCATAATCGCGTCCTTTAATTTGACGGTAGCCTCGAGCAACGAGGCGTGCTTTGTATTTGTCCACATTTCCAAACTTGTCATACTTGATTGCGAACATCCACGTTGCTTTTAACAGAGAAACGTTTCTTGGCCTTTTCACTTTTCTCCACGTTCCGTTTATCTTGTAATTCAGAAGCTCCTGTTTGATGGCCCCCTATCCAACAGGTGCGATCAGCTGAGGCTAGTGTCTCTCTGAAGGACCGGGGAATAGCAGGTATCTTTGAGGGGGCAGATGATGACTGTCCAGGGCTCTTCGTCTTGGGATAAGAGGGATTAATATCACCTATTGCAAATATGCCGTTGGTTTCTGTGGTGCCACTGGTTGCTGATTCTTCACTTCCAGACCCAACAAAGCTGGGTTGTGACGGTCGTGTGTCATCATCAGTAAATGCAGTGGCAGCAGCAGCTGTGAAATCTCCTCCTTCTGGAAGGGGTAAGTTATTGTGACCAGAAACACCGATCTGCGGATGATCCGCCTCACGTGCTTGGATTAACACGCCAGATGGTGCCCAATATTTCCCTCTCTGTTACTGCAATAGTAGTTAAGAAGGATGATCAAGTTGGTAAATTTTTCCCTGTAAGAGGAGAATGTAGGGCATTGTAGTACGGTTGACAATGCTACTTTTGCAGCTTCAAAGTAATTCTCCATGGTTAACTTGTATTTGTCCTTGTTTTGGCAGTGCTTCGTTGCAGTTGCGAAGGTATCGGAGAAGATTTGAGCCGGTGTTTTTGACTTGACAACATCATCGTAAATGGCAATGTAGAAGAATTTTGAGTTTCAAAAGTTATCATGGTTAAATGAGTTGTAGGAATTGACTAGCTTCAAAATCTCTGGGAGGGCAGTTACTTCTCTAATTTGAGTGTATCTGAATTCAGGGCAGTCCTTGATGAGCCTGACGGCATCCTTGCAAATTATTTTGTAAATGTCTATGAGTTGCATTCTTTCGTCTTCTGGAGCATTCATTTGGAAGACCTTGTTGATTACTTCTGATAGGTAATTATCTTCCACGTCTGGTTGGTTTAGATATTCGTTAACCCAATCGAAGACAGGTTCGGTTTCTTCATTAAGCTTGCGGCGAAAGGTGGAGAGTAATAAAGAGCATCCTATGTTGGGGTGGTTGTCAAGCATAGTGGAAATGAGTGCGTGCAAGTATAGTTCAAGATCAGGCTTGGAGTTCATGGGCAAGTGTGATCTGAAGTAGTCGTTGGTAGAATCCATCAGGGCGACCATGTATTCTTGTATCCCGTGTTCTTCGACCGAAACTTGTTGGGAAGGGATAAAAGATCCGTAATAGGGGAGCTTCGTGGAATCTTCTTCAAAGGGGATAAATGATCTGTAGCAGATTCTGTTAACAATGGAGTTGATGTTGTCCGGAGGGTTGATGAGGGGGTAGAAGTCCTCGATCTCCAGAGGTACAAAAAGGTCTTTGATGCCGTACTTGATGATGGTTTTGAGGTATTGAGTAGGGATGTTGATCTTCTCGTTCTCAGACATTTGGATAACTGTTTGGGGTAGAGAGGAAGGTTTTGGGACTTCGGATTTTGGATTCGAAATCCTGTCAAGGAAGAATGCTCTAGTTTTATCGTCGCTCATTTTTGGTTAAGTCGTATGAGACTCTTAATCTGTTGATAGATTTAGAGTGCAGGGATAAATGTATATTATAGTTATAGGAATAGATGGAGTTTATAGCGGAGGCGGACTAAGGATAGAATAGGATTATATAGAGGAACACAGTAGAGACTGACGAAGAGTATGATGAAGTCCAGTGTGGCTCGTCAATGTCACTATGTTTAGGTATTAGGTCTTAACTCAAGCTTTCAGTACCAGTGATCGTCTATACAACCAATGAGAAATTGGATATGTGTAGTTGGTAAAAAGAGAGAGTTAAGAGCAAGTAAGAAATAACACATATCTCTTTACCCTAGACAGAGCTTCAATGTTTGCTAGGCGTTTGCCAGGAACCTAACCCCATCTTGCACTATGTGGTTAGGGTTCTGGTCCAGGACGAGCTAATTGAGCTCCGGTGTCACTGCACTGTGTTCTACGACAACAGGCAATGATACACCTATAGCATCAAATTATAGTAAGGAACTTCCTTCAAGACACGAAACTTCTCAACAATTCATTTCTTCAAAAACAATATTAATTAAGTATTAGTATAAGCATATCTGTAATTTATAGAATGGCTTAGATGTTTAGAAACGTTTGACTTTTTTTTTTTTAATTAATACCAATTTCTTAAATAATGGCAGTGTAACGGGAAAAAAAAAATTAAGATTGATTGACATGATTCATTTTAATTATGCTTTTGTATGTTTTTTTTTTTATTTTATTTCAAATTTAAATTTGCAAATAAGAGATTAAAAGTATTTATTCCGAAAAAAAAAATCAAAAATTCTCATTTTCAAGATTCATTTTATGTCACATTTAATACATAAAATGTGGGGTAAATGGTAATGAGATACACTTAAAAGATTGTCAAATTCTACTATAAAGTGAAGAAAAAAAAAAGATTTCCTGTCGTGTTGTCGGTACCGGCCGGTACAACTTAATGTAAATAATAAATCTAGCACACACCGCAACTGCTTCTGTCCAAATTCCATCTTGGACAAGGTTGAACAAACTGTCTCTCTAAACTCGTCGTACATCTTTGGGACCTCGAATCCATGTATGACCTCTGTTTCATCATTCATCAGCACTTCTGCTGTCTTTATTCTTGCCATTGACCTTTGTGCTCCTAAGAGCTAACAATGCCTATTATTCTTCAGCAATGCTGTTGTTCCTATTCTCACACTCGACCTATTCCATTTCTTGATAACTTCGTTTCAACTTCTTTGGCTTCCTGCTACGTCGATTTTCCTGATTCATTCGGTCCCTCAACGACCCTTGGCGTGCTCCCTGCTCCGCCATGGTGGCATCCATGATGCCCTCTAGTCTCTTTTTCAAAGCCTCTCTACCTGGAGAGTCCAGAGTGAACCCTATGCGACGTACTTCTCTTGTTAGTAGTTTAGTGTCAAGATCAACCAAATCGTAGACGCGATCCACCACTTTGTCTCTGGTACCTTTGTCCAATTCGTAGAGAAACTCCATGAAACTTCTTGTGAAGTCGTAATCTTCCAATCTTCTGTCTCCTATCCAGTTCGCCCTCAATCTCGTAAACTGTCTGTTGTCTTTGTCCCCACCGTTCCCAGTGTTTCTCATCAATTTCTTAAAATCATCTGCCCTTTTATCCAGGACGTATAGTACTTCCCGGCAGCACGTAATCAGCATTTGAGGTGTCTTTGCCAAAGCTTTAATGATACACCATTCGTCCACTGAAGTCTTGGCCACTTTCCAGACAAACTCATAATATTGTTCCTTGCTTACTCTATACTCAATGTATAGTCTCATAACACTGTGAATCTCCATTACCCATTCTGAGAAGTTTTCCTTGTATGAGCTCTTGAACTTGAAATTCTTATTGTTGAGTACCATTATCTCGAAACTCTCCCCATCCTCCTCCGAAAATACATAGTTCACCGTTGGGTCCGGCTGGTCAAAAAGAGCAAAGTAGTAAGAACTCTCCATCATTTTTCTTTTCATATTTAACACCTTTTCGTTATCGAACATCAGGAAAAATTCCTGATTCCATTTAATCTGCTCTTTAATTGCCGAATTTCTTTTTACCATTGCGGATGCCGTACCCGCCGTCACCTTGGACGAGGTATTTGTTGTTTCCATTTCTTCGTTGTTCATAATAGAAAATGAAAGACTATTTGTCGTGTTGTCGGCATAACTTAATGAAAATAATAATAATAAAAGTAATAAATTGATTAAAAGTAACAGTCTATATATATGATTAGACTCCCAAAACCATCAGCTTAGGTCATTCATCTTACCTTTCATCTTAAGGAGGACTTTGTTTCCTCTTCAGTATTCTCCTATTGTCTTGTGCTGATGGTGATGGTGATGGTGATACTTCTTGGTTTGTGGTTATACTGCCACCTGGATAATATAACCCTAACCACTTAAGTCACGGGGCCCAGAGGCCCCCTGGGACATTTCCTTTAATATTTATGGGCATGTTTAATTTTAAAAGTCAAATTTTAATCAAAAAAAAATTAAAAAAAATATATATAGTAATTATTTCAAAATCATTTGATATTTCTTGGTTTAACGTCTTACAGAGATGCAAGACTGACCAGCTTTGTGTTTGATTTGTATTTGGAAACTGCTGCAATGGTCACCTTGGATAGGACCCGCAAGCAGACTGCTCCGGAGGCATGCTTAATAAAGGCCATCACGGAGTGTTTTAATGTCATGAGTTACTAAAAAAAGTATCTGGGTTTTTTTTTTCTTTGATATTTAACGGGATTCACCAGAAACAGCAGCCTTGATGGGGAGAGCAAAGGGTGCAACGGTGCCAAAGGCAATGTAGGCCAAGACCATAGAGCTGGAGCGCTTAGGAGCAGCCATCTTAGAGGCACGGATAGCCTGGGTGAAGGAGTTGAGAGTAGCACGAGTGAAGAACATTATGGTTGATAGAGAAGATTTTATGAGTAATAGAATGTAATTAAGGTGGTTTGATTGTTTGATAGTTTGATTGAGATAATGATTATTATTATGAGAAAAAAAGAATTAAAATAAAAAAAAAGGGTTTTAGGAACAGGAATTCTGGTGATATTTAAATCAATTTTGAAGGTTGAGATGGACAAGGCACGGCTGTAGAAAATGTAAAGCCTTGGAAGTTGCTTACATTCAAGTTCATTATTATTGGTGGATATTTTATGCCTATCTATTAAAGAAAATAGTAAGCAGCATTCTAAATGTTTTTATTGGTGAGAAATATTTGAGCACAATTAGTGTTCCCTTATATTCCCAAACAAGCTTAAAGTCAAAAAGAAGTATATTTCTCGGAACTTTCCTAAAATTGTCAAATGCGCATAATAGCCCATAAAAAAAAAATTTAAATTAGATCAAACTAGTTTTGATAAAATTCCAAAAAGAGAATTTGAGGAATTTTAAAACTAGAATTTTTGAATTTTTTTTTTTAAAAAAAATTGGGACTGATAAGGGTAGCTAATAAAGCTAATTAGATTTTTATTAATTCTATTGTTTTAAATTTGGTTTGTTCTTAAATTATAAACCTGTTAATATTATTTGTTAAAACATGATTTTGTTTTTTTTGATATTTGTTGTTTTGAATACGTTTACCATATTTAAGAAAAGCAGATATCGAAACGACATGTTGGATCACTCGACAAAAAAAATGGCTACGTAAATAGAAATATGTTGAATAATTAAAATAGAGAAAGTTTTTTTAAAAAAGATATAAAGATTGTCGATCAAAAAATCTGTATAAAACTTTCCAGATATTTTTATAGGAGATGGAGATAATAACCTGAGTAAACAAGGTTTGAAATTAGATGAATTATTACTGTTGGATTAAACGTTGAGTGAAGACGAAAATTATTCCTGAATTAAAGATTAGATTATACACTTAGTAAAATGACTTTATTTTATTAAAACTAAATAAAAAAAAATTTAAAAAATTAAAAAAAAAAAAGTTGCCAGTTTTGTAAACCAGTTACAAAAAAGGACTAAAAGCTTTATGAACGATTAAAAGTAATGACTTGTTTGATGTGTCTCAAGCCAAATCTAAAAAGATTTTATAGATCAGCGAGATTTATAATTGTACTTTTATATTTGGAGGCAACAAAATTGGATTTAAACCAAGTGCCATCACAAAAGATATAATAAGGTAGCAAGTGAAAAAAAAAATTGCAATTTGAGATTAGAGGCAAATTTGTTTTGTTTCAGAGACAATGAAAAGAAACAAAAACGGCTTGCTTAATGAGATTCATGGGCAGCCACAGAGGTCTTGAGGGGCAGAGCAAATGGAGCAACTGCACCAAAAGTGATGTAGAGCAAGACCAGAGAGCTGGAACGGTTAGGTGAAGCAGGCTTAGTAGAGCGAGCAGCTTGAGAGAAAGACTTGGCGGCAGTGCGAGTGAAAGACATTATGAGTTTTGTTTGTGAGAATAGTAAGATTTGGGTTTGAGGTAGTAATAGTAGTTGAAAGATGTTGATAATAATAATAAATGATTTTTAAAATAAAAAAAAAAAAATTTTTGAAAATGAAGGACTTTGAGGGTCTATTTATGTTAGTTGTGATATTATTATTATTATTATTATGGAGCGCCTCGAAAATTTGTTGCACAGAATCGCGCCACTTTTTTTTTTATTATTTGTTTGCACAGATATTATTATTATTTTTTTTCGTTATATTTAGAATATATGGCCAGGGTAATGGATAGATTGCTGACCATTAGACTGTATTTTATTGGTCAACACAATATTATTGCGTGACTTGGGCATCAACACATTCCACATACTCATTTCGGTCTCTGTAACACACACACACACATAAAAAATAATGCCTAAACACTAAGCACATATCGGAGACTCCGCGGTAACCTGTCCACCGCAGAGTAACTGGCAAAAAAAAAAAAAAATGGCAGAGAAGCGAGAGGGGATATGCCAAATGAGTACTTCAACCGACCTGTCAAAAAAAAAAATAACAAAAAAAAAAAAAAAAAAGACACACGCTCATCGGTTTGTCCTGCGGCAGAGATGGCGCTTGGCAGGCTTTTTTTTTTTTTTTTTTTTGTTTTTTAAATTCACATCAGAAAAGCGATTGCTATTTGTATATATTTGAACATATTTTGCATATTTTGCATATTTTGTTAAAGATACTTCGGTCTGCTCCTTATAAATATTAGTTTGAAAAAAAAAAAAAAAAAAAAAAAAAAAAACCTTTACAGTTAAATCAAAAATTGAGATCGATTTACTCAAAATACTTTTTCATTGAAAGAAAAAAAAAGAAAAAGGCCGTTTCATGTTTATGACTGATGTTGTTACACAAACTTAACAGATCTCCTACACACCCTCATCTACTTTAACTATCAACAAGAAACAGACAACGGAAGCCTGCCGTGTACGGATCGTTTCTATATAAACCTAGTCATTAAGTTTAACTGACACTGGCACTGGCACTTTTGATTTTTTTTTTTTTTTGACTTCACAAACTGCTACGGTTGCTTTCTGAGAATGAAAAGATTATGATTGTAACAACGTCACGTTAAAATGCCGGGGAAGAAAAAAAAAAAAAAAAAAGAAAGGAAAAAAACCAATTTGACCAATCATAGTTAACCTATTGGTAAGCATACCATAAGGTTTTAAGTGCGGCTGTGTGTTTTAATGTAAAGCCGTGCACTCCCATGTGGGCTCTATTACTTTTGAGGGGAGGGGGAAGGTCAAAAAAAAAAATTTTTTTGTAAAGAAAGAATTTGTTTGAACTCAAAAAGAATAAATAGCAAACGATTTCCTTGCCCATTGTTTATTAAAAAAAAAAAAATAGATCTTCATTTATAATTATACAAACTAAACACTCTACACTCAATCCACTTAACTCTACTATTTACTCTAAAACCCACATCTACAAACAAAATTCACAATGTCTTTCACTCGCACTGCCGCCAAGTCTTTCTCTCAAGCTGCTCGCTCTACTAAGCCCTCTTCACCTAACCGTTCCAGCTCTCTGGTCTTGCTCTACATCACTTTTGGTGCAGTTGCTCCATTTGCTCTGCCTCTCAAGACCTCTGTGGAGTCTCATGAGTCTCATGAGTCTCACTAAACAAAAAAAACTTGCTTTTGCTTTTTTTTTTTTCTTCAATCGACGCTCTTAATTTATTTGACGTCTTGAAGTCTGGTTATCACCTAAACCAAATTATCTCTTGCATTATTTCATGACATTCAAGTTTTATTAAAACTTGTCACCAAGTTGCAAATTTAACAGCATAAAAAAAAAACCTGTTTCTTGTTTGCATAATAATACTCAAAAGTTAAACTGAAAAAAACTTTTGATTTGCATAAGTGTTTTTACCAAGTAGACACAAACCGTTTAATGACCTTTTTAATGACCCCTCTATGTTATATGTTGCTTTTATAGACTTTGCTTATTTTTAATCTAATTTTATGTTTCTTTTACTCTTTTTTTTTTTTTAAAATTTTAACCATATTTTTTTTTGAGGATTTAACCCATTTAAATTATCAGTTTTGATCCCGTTTTAGAGATAAAGTGGAAGTTAAACATCATGTCGTTTGACTTTAATCTACTTCCTTAATCTTTAATTCAAAATTCATTTTTTTTTATTTATTTATTTATTTTGAGAAACCTTTGTGGGTCATAAACACCTCAGCGGTTCAACTAAACCCTCCTTTACAGTTCTTTTTTTTTTTTTTTTTGTATATAACTGATTAAAATTTATCAAACAACATGACTAACCTACAATACTAATGACGCACAATCGGAAGTTCCGATATACATAAATTTATGATAAACTTGTGATTATTTTCAAGGTTCAAGATTCAAGATATATACATATTTATTTATTTCCCCCCCCTTTCTCCCCCACCTCCCTCCATAATCTCTCTTTTATCTTGTCTGGTATCACTTAAATGCTCTCTCCAATCATATACTATCCAAATGTCAGCACGTCACGATACCTGGCGTTGCCCCCCTGTTAATCCAACAACCACCTTTTCATTTTGGTCTTGCCACTGAAAAGGTGCCTTTTTTTCTATGTTTTTTTTTTTTTTTTTTCACTCTATTTCAGCAATTAACCTAAAAGAATTCAATTATATGGACCATTAATTTGTGTGCTATATCCTTCTAAAATAAAAATAAAAATAAAACCCCTCCAGTTGTAATAATACATTTCCCAAATTTATAAATAAAATGACCGGTTATACGTCCTTTACACTTTCTTTACATCTCTCTTGTAAAAAAGATTTTTTACCTATTTTGTTCTTTTTTTGATGTGCGGCTCACTGACCACAAATAGATGGGGTGATTTTGATTATTTTTGATTTTTTTCAATAAATAAAAATAATACAAAATATTACAAAATAAAAAAAAAAAATTATTTTTTACGTGCTTTTGGAGTTTTTTTTTTTTTTTTTTTTTTTTTTTTTCTAATGGTTAATAATAATGATGATTTTCGTGTAATAACAACAATCATATCAATAACAATCAGACTGATTTTTGATGTCAGGTTGGTTCTAAAAAAAATATTAAAAAAAAATCATTTTTTTTTGTATATAACCAGCCCAGTTTCCCTCGTTCTCTCTTTGCCCGCTTATTTTTTACTTTTTTTTTAATTTTTTTTTATTTTATTTAAATCTGAAATATATACACTTTACTTACAATATCTCTATCCGTTAATTTCCATTTCAGTATTTCTTTTATTCTCAACATATTCTAATTCACCTTCAAAAACCTTCAAAAACCTTCAAAAAAATCAAAAACAAAAAAAAAATGCTTGCAAATTCTTGTCGTCGCAGTGCTGTCAATTCCTGTTCACGTACTTGCAAACGCGCCGCATCATCATCAACATCTACACCATCACCATCTTTAAACCGTGCTAGCTCTCTTGTCTTTCTATACATTGCCTTCGGAACAGTCGCACCTT